TGGCATCTGATGGAGCTGCCCCTCTGGTATGAAGCTTCCAGAGCAAGGAACAGGTAGCAATCTTTGTTGTTCTGCAGCCTCTGCTGGTGATATTCAGGTAAATAGGGTGTGGAGTGGACCTCCAGCCAATTCCAGTAGACCTGCCTGCAGCAGAGGAGCCAGACTATTAGAAGGAAAATTAACAAACAGAAAGGAGTAGCGTGAACATCAGCAAAAAGGACATCCACACAAAAACCCCATCTGAAGGTCACCAACATCAAAGACCAAAAGGAGATAAATCCAGGAAGTTGAGGAAAAACTAGTGCAAAAAGGCTGAAAATTCCCCAAACCAGAAAGTTTCTTCTCCAAAGGATCACCACTCCTCACCAGGATCACAACTCCTCACGAGCAAGGGAGCAAAACTGGACAGAGAATGAGTTTGACTAATTGACAGAAGTAGGCTTCAGAAGGTGGGTAATAATAAACTTCTCCAAGCTAAAGCAGCATGTTCTAACCCAATGGAAGGAAGCTAGGAACCTTGAAGAAAGGCTAGATGAATTGCTAACTAGAATAACCAGTTTAGAGAAGAATATAAATGACCTGATGGAGCCGAAAAGCACAGCATGAGAACTTTGTCAAGCATATACAAGTATCAATAGCTGAATCAATTAATTGGAAAAAAGGATATCAGAGATTGAAGATCAACTTATTGAAATAAAGCATGAAAGACAAGATTAGAGAAAAAAGAATGAGAAGGAACAAACAAAGCCTCCAAGAAATATGGGACTATATAAAAAGACCAAACCTATGTTTGATTGGTGTACAAGTGTTGGGAGAATGGAAGAAAGTTGGAAAAAACACTTCAGGATATTATCTAGGAGAACTTCCCTAACCGAGCAAGACAGACTAACATTCAAATTGAGGAAATACAGAGAACACCACAAAGATACTCCTTCAGAAGTGCAACCCCAAGACACACAATAATCAGATTCACCAAGGTTGAAATGAAGGAGAAAATGTTAAGAGCAGCCACAGAGAAAGGTCTGGTTACCCACAAAGGGAAGCCCATCAGACTAACAGCAGATCTCTGTGCAGAAACTTTACAGGCCAGGAGAGATTGGGGGCCAATGTTCAACATTCTTAAAGAAAAGAATTTTCAACTGAGAATTTCATATCCAGCCAAACTAAGCTTTATACACAAAGGAGAATTAAAATCCTCTGCAGACAAGCAAATGCTGAGAGATTTTGTCACCACCAGGCTTGCCTTACAAGAGTTTTTAAAGGAAGCACTAAATATGTAAAGGAACAACCAGTACCAGCCACTGCAAAAACATACCAAATTGTAAAGACCATCAATACTACAAAGAAACCCAACTAATGGGCAAAATAAGCCGCTGGCATCATAATGCCAGGATCAGATTTATATGGAACTATATTAACCTTAAATGTAAATGGGCTAAATACCCCAACTAAAAGACACAGACTGGCAAATTGGAAAGTCAAGACCCATTGGTGTGTTGTATTCAGGAGACCCATCTCACGTGCAAAGACACACATAGGCTCAAAATAAAGGGATGGAGGAGGTTTTACCAAGCAAATGGAAAGAAAAAAAAAAAGCAGGGGTTGCAATCCTAGTCTCTGAGAAAACAGACTTTAAACCAACAAAGATCAAAAGAGACAAAGAAGGGCATTACATGATGGTAAAGGGATTAATGCAAGAAGAATAGCGAACTATTCTAAATATATATGCACCCAATACAGGAGCACTCAGATTCATAAACCAAGTTCTTAGAGACCTACAAAGAGACTTAGACTCCCACACAATAATAGTGGGAGACTTTAACACCCCATTGTGAATATTAGATCAGTGAGACAGAAAAGTACCGAGGATATTCAGGACTTTAACTGAGCTCTGGACTGAGCAGACCTAATAGACCGTCTACAGAACTCTCCACCCCAAATCAACAGAATATACATTCTTCTCAGCATCACACTGCACTTATTCTAAAACTGACCACATAACCGGAAGTAAAACATTCCTCAGCAAATACAAAAGAGCGGAAATCATAACAAACAGTCTCACAGACCACAGTGCAATCAAACTAAAATCAGGTTTAAGAAACTCACTTGAAACTGCAGAACTACATGGAAACTGAACAACCTGCTCCTGCATGACTACTGGGTAAATAATGAAATTAAGGCAGAAGTCAACGAGTTCTTTGAAACCAGTGAGAACAAAGACACAATGTACCAGAATCTCTGGAACATGTCTAAAGCAGTGTTTAATGGTAAATTTATAGCACTAAATGCCCACAGGAGAAAGTGGGAAAGATCTAAAATTGACACCCTAACTTCACAATTGAAACGGGTAATATTCAGTGTCTATAAAGAACTGAAACAAATTTGTGAGAAAAAACCCCAAAAAAAAGTGGGTGAAGTATATGAACAGACACTTCTCAAAAGAAGACATTTATGCAGCCAACAAACATATTAGAAAAGCTCATCACTGATCATTAGAGAAATGCAGATCAAAACCACAATGAGATACCATCTTACGCCAGTCAGAATGGCAATTATTAAAAAGTCAGGAAACAACAGATGCTGGAGAGGATGTGGAGAAATAGGAATACTTTTATGCTGTTGGTGGGAGTGTGTAAATTAGTTCAACCATTATGGAAGACAGTGTGGCAATTCCTCAAGGATCTAGGAATAGAAATACCATTTGACCCAGCAATCCCATTATTGGGCATATAGGTTTACAAATCATTCTGTTATAAAGACACATACACATGTGTATTTATTATGGCACTGTTCACAATAGCAAAGACTTGGAACCAACCCAAATACCCATCAATGATGGACTCAATAAAGAAAATGTGGCACATGTACACTATGGAATACTATGCAGTCATAAACAAGGATGGGTTGATGTCCTTTACAGGGACATGGATGAATCTGGAAACCATCATTCTTTTTTTTTGTTTTGTTTTTGAGACAGAGTTTCGCTCTTGTTACCCAGGCTGGAGTGCAATGGCGCGATCTCGGCTCACCGCAACCTCCACCTCCTGGGTTTAGGCAATTCTCTTGCCTCAGCCTCCTGAGTAGCTGGGATTACAGGCACACGCCACCGTGCCCAGCTAATATTTTGTATTTTTAGTAGAGACGGGGTTTCACCATGTTGACCAGGATGGTCTCGATATCTTGACCTCGTGATTTACCTGCTTCGGCCTCCCAAAGTGCTGGGATTACAGGCGTGAGCCACAAACCATCATTCTTAGCAAACTAACATAGGAACAGAAAACCAAATACCACATGTTCTTACTCATAAGTGGGAGTTGAACAATGAGAACATATGGACACTGGGAGGGGAACATCACACCCCGGGGCCTGTCAGGGCGTGGGGGCCTAGGGAAAAAATAGCATTAGGAGAAATACCTAATGTAGATGACGGTTTGTTGGGGGCAGCAAACCACCATGGCACGTGTATACCTATGTAACAAACCTGCCCACTCTGCACATGTATTTCAGAACTTAAAGCGTAATACAAAAAATTTAAAATTTTTAATTATGAGCAATTTCAGACATAATATAGAAAAAATAGTAGAATATAGTCCATGTAGGTATCACCCACAGTTGTTAACCCCTGGCCAATCTCGTTTTATTTTTCAGACATTATTTTATTTTATTCTGAGTCTCACTCTTCCACCCAAGGTGTAATGCAGTGGCTTGATCTTGGCTCACTTATCTTGCCTCAGCCTCCTGAAGCGCTGTGATTATAGGCATGTGCCACCATGCCCGGCTAAGTTTTCTATTTTTGGTAGGGTAGGAGTTTTACCATGTTTGCCAGGTTTGTATTGAATTCCTAACATCAAGTGATCCACCACCTTGGCCTCCCACAGGGCTGGGATTACAGGTGTGAGCAACCATGCCTCAGATGTAATTTTAATTTGTTTGTTTTATGCAAATTCTAAATCATGTCAAATTTCTCAAAGCATCTACCAATTAGATGCTTTTATTAACATGATTTATGCTATCTTTAAAATATACCTATAACGTACTTTGCTGCATGAGTTGGAAAAATAAAAAAGCCCAAAAGATAGATTGAGACAAAATGGCTTACATTGAAGGATTCCATGCTGAATAAAAGCATTGAGATCTTGGGTGGGTGAATTAAAATACTCTTTTTTGTTAGTGCAGATAATAAGTACTTTTGATTGTTTCGACTTAACAACAAATCTCTTTTTTAAACTGTGTTGGCTACATATAGTTAGCATGGGAGAGAAAAAAGTTGAGAACCAGTGAAGTAAATAAGCATATACTCAAATATGCAGTAGAAATCTAAGATCACTCATGAGTAAGGAAATGTCTATTTACATTTAAACCATAATTCAAGAAAATCTGACCTAACTCTGGTAATGAGTTTTATAGTGCTAGCAATTTCTATGTATATTTTTCAACTAATTATTTATAGATTCTTGAAGGATACCATACCATTTAAAGCATGTAAACATATTCTAAGTTACAACTGTGTACTAGGAGGGCACCACACATCTTTTTTACAAACTTTAAATGGAAAAATATTGCAACGAAGAATTTTTGTTTTCGTTTTGAAAAATTACAGGATCTCACTCTGTAACCCAGGCCAAGTTGGGTGGTAAAGCCATAGCTTACCGCAAGCTGCAGTTCCCAGGCCCGAGTGATCCTCCCTCCTCAGTCCCCCCAGTAGCTGGGACTACAGATATGCACTGGCATGCCTGGCTAATTTTTTTTGTTTTAAGTAGAGGCTGAGTCTCACTATGTTATGCAAGCCGAAGAATATTTTCTTTCTTTTTAACAGTGGTAAAATACCTGTAACATAAAATTTATCATCTTACTCATTTTTAAGTATATGAACTAAGACAATTATAACTGTATAAGGTTAGGATTCAATTTACCCAAGTCAGTAGACAGTTACGTATTTATTGATCTTTGTATACCATGAGAATAAAGCCACCACGAAGTTGTTTACATTTGTTTTTCAGGTCATTACTTCCTTTTATGTGGAGCGTGGAGGAAATGCTATGTCCTTCATGGGAAAAGGTGTTACAAAGAGCACAATTCTTTGCTTGCTTCACTTATCCCATGAGATGATGGCCCAGGCTGGGAGCTTGGTGAGCGCATTAAAGCTGTCTGTCTTCTGAACAGCTAGTTGAAAAGGAATGTGCTATATCCAGCACATTTCAAGCACATAAACTTGCTACATTAAAATGTCTCTTTTGACTTTTCTGTTTAGGAAACAAGAATGATTTTTGACTAGGATGTTTCTTAGAAGTTGTATATTAACAAATCTGAATTTTATTTGAAATTGATTAAAATCTGCATTCACTGAAAAACTACCTTTTGTCTAAATCATGGGAAAAATAGCTTCTGTCAAAAATATTGTTATGTTTTTTTAAAGAGAAACAAGTTTTTTTTTGTTTGCCGTGTTTTGGCTGAATAATGGGATTAAAAACAAGTCTAAAATACATGTTTATGTTGTTCTTTCATTAAAAATTCAGAATTGTTTTAACCTTTCTGCATTTTATTTTTAGAAACTTACCTAAAGTATTTCTGTTTCCCCTTTTTCCCAGTAGGAGTGGATGTCACTTTGGTTCTTGCCTTTGGGTAGTCATGGTGAAGAACATATTTCTACTCAACAAGGATTGGCTTGGCTGATTCCATTATGGGTTGATCGGGACCCAGAGGTCAGTGTGAAGGAGAATCAAGTTTATTGTGTTTAGATTAAAAACAAATGACACAAACCATAAATATATATACATACTTATATTATGGGATTATTTTAGTGACTCTACCTTATATTTTATTTAAGCCCTGATTTAGCTTAGGTTGCCATAACAAAACACCATAGACTAGGTGACTTAGACAACAAAAACTTCTTTTCTCATAGAAGTTTTAGAAGCTGAAAGCCCAAGATCAGGGTGCCAACATAGTCAAGTTCTGGTGAGGGCTCTTCTTCTGGCTTATAGATGGCTGCCTTCTTGCTGTATATTCACATGGCCTTTCCTTGGTCCGTGCATGTGGGGCAGGGGAGGGAGGGTGGTATAGAACAGATTTGTCTCTTTTTTTTTACTATAAGGTTGCCAGTCTTACTGAGATAGTACTGCTCCCTTATGACCTCATTTAACCTTAATTATCTCCTAGAAGCCCTATTTTTAAATGTAGTCACTCGAGCATAAAGGCTTCAACATATGAGTTTTGGAGGGGTGCCGTTCAGTTCATAGCTTTCCACCCCTGGACCTTTTAACTTCATATTCTTTTTCCATGCAAAATGCTTTTATTCTCCCATAACAACCTCAAAAATCTTAACCTATCCCAAAATCAACTGTAAAGTCTAAAGTCCAAAATCTCTTCTAAATAGCATCTAAGCCACATATGGATAAGTCTCTAGATAAACCCTCCTGAGACAGAATTCTTCTCCAGGTGTGAACCTGTGAAACCATTCAAGTTATGTGCTTCCAAAAGATGATGGTAGGATAGACATTCCCCTTCCAAAAGGGAGAAACGGGAAAAAAGGAAGAAATGATGGATCCTGGGCAAGTCCAAAGCCTCACAAAGCAAATTCCGTCAGATCTGAATGCTCGAGGATAATGTTCTTGGGCTCAATGCTGTGCCTTACAGGCCCACCAAGGTGACAGCATCTAGATGGCTCTATGGGGTGACCTCATCGCTTTGGGTCTCTTCAAGAGCCCTGCCTATAAAGGTATCTTCAAGGGCAGCCCTTTCCCTGAAGCACTGGACAGGGTCATCACCCTGGCCCACTGAAATCAGAGAGGTACTTAAAACCAGGAGGAAAAGCCGTCCCCCAGTCCTGTGGTGGGAGGGCAGCCTGGTGATCTCTAAATCATTTTTTGGGTCACTCTTACCTTTCATTGACTAATACAGTAGTCCTCCCTTATCAGAGATTTCCTTTTCCAAAAGCAGCCTGAATAGTAGCCTAACACTCCCTCACAATGCCTACGTCATTCACCTCACCTATTCTGTTTATGGAAGCATTGTATCATCTCACATCATTACAAGGAGGCTGAGTGCAATACAATAAAATCTTTTGAGAGAGAGACCATGTTCATACATTTTATATTACAGCATGTTGATATAACTGTTCTAACTTATTTTTAGTTATTGTTGCTAATCTCTTACTGTGCTAATTTGTAAACTTTATCATAGATATTTATGTGTGGGGAAAAAGCATAGTAGTTACAGGGCTCAGCACTAACTGTGGTTTCAGGCATCCACCGGGGGTCTTGGAATGTATTCCCCATGGATAAGGAAGGGACCACTGTAGCACATATTTGCTTATAGGTTCCAGGAGGTCCAACAGCTTTCCTTCATTCTGTGCATCTTTCTCTGTCCTCTTTAGTTCAAACTAGCAATGTCTTTGCTGATATAATCCCATCTCTATTTCTGGCTTCTGCTGAGATGTCTGATTAAGTCCATGAATTGCAACCGTGATCTCTTTCTTAAATGATTATTCAGCCACACCCTCCATGTTCTCTTTAAAACAAGCTTCTCATTTTTTGCACGGATAGGCTGAGAATTTTTCAAATCTTGTTCTTTTTTCTTTTTGCTTACCCATTCTTAATTCCTTCTTTAATTCATCTCTCTCCTTTTGCATTTTGCTATAAGCAATCAGGAGGAACCAAGCCACTTTTTCAACACTTTGCTCAGAAATCTTCTCAGCTAAATATCCAATTTCATTGCTCACAAATTCTGCCTTCCACAAAATACTAGAACATGACCACAGCTCAACCACTTTTCTTACCAGTTTATAACAAGGATTGCCTTTCCTCAAATAACCTTTTTTAAATAACGCTTTCCTCATTTTTGTCTGAGATCTCATGAGAGTTGCCGAGGTCTACGTTTCTGGCATGAACCTCAAAACTCTTCTAGCCTTTAGCCCATTACCTAGTGCCAAAGTCACTTTCATGTGTTGAGGCATTTGTTTCAGCAGCATCCCCACTCCTTGGTACCAAAATCTGTGTTAGTGTGCTCAGGCTTCCATCACAAAATATCGCCTGCGTGGCTACAAACAGAAATGTATTCCTTGCAGTTCTGGAGGCTGTATTCAAGATCAGAATGTCAGCATGGTTCGTTTCTGGTTTACAGATGGCTGCCTTCTCGCTGTGTGCTCACGTGACTCTCCTTGGTGCATGCATGTGGAGAAAGATTTCTCTGTTTCTTGAGCCCACCATTCCTAGTGCAGCGGGGTCCCACCCGTATAACTTCTTTTGACTGTAGTCACCTTCTAATAGCTCTATCTCCAAATACAGTCTGGGGATTAGGGCTTCAACATAGGAGTTTTGAGAAGACAGAGTTCAGTGCCCAGCACCCTCCTTTTCAATCAAATTTGTTAGAGTATAGATTGAAAATATAAAAGAGACAAGGTTAAAGTATCTGTTACTTTCAGAAGAGTGGAAAATTATTGGAGAGGCTTAGCCATTTTGAAACTGTTGAGAAGGATCTGGAAATTATAGTTAAGTGACATATAAGTGTCTCATGTAATGAAACTAAATGCCAAAATTGCATTTGCATTACAGTATAAAATTCTGTATTATTAAATAACTTTCCAGTTTTAGTCAGTTGTTCACTGATTTCAAGCAAGAAATGATTAGATGCTATTATAATAAAACCTTATTTATAGAAATATTTGAAATACATTTTTTAGTCACATTAAACTTGGACTTACTACTTGACTATGTTATGACTGCATTTTTTTTTTTAATCCTGTAGTGGTTATTAAAACTATATATTTAGGTTAGAATTCAGAAATTTACCAACATGTGTGGCTTGAACAGCAGTGATTCTACAGCAAGCATGTTATACCATGCCAATCTTACTTGGAAACATTTTTCTCTTAAAATAATTTTTGAAGAAAATACGAAATGCTTTGTAAAATGATAATTGCCTATTTGTTTAGAAGTTTTAAGAAAGTTAAAACCATTTATTTGGAATAAACACTAAAAAATTAAGAAAGGTAGAACAAAGAATAGCTGCCTTTTTTAAGGATGAAGAATAAATTGAAATTGTGTTCATAAAAGGTAAGTGCCCTATGCTTTCCCTAGAAAAATGCTTGCAAACTATAAATTTTATGCTTCTTTTTATACCCAGTTTTAATTTGCTTTGAAATTTGGTTATATTTCATTTTTCCTATATTATTGCTTCCTTGAATCATGGAATGGGATTTTTATTCATTCATAAACTTATAGGACACTGTGTTCTATAGATGTTTTTTATAATTTAGGATCATAAAATCAATGCTGTATATTTTTTAAAGTATGATATTTTATATACCAGAAAAACTAAGAATTTTTTTATGTTAGGAAAAAGGGTCATTTGATTCAACAACTTTCTCTTTAATTTGAACAGGTGAGATTCACTTCACTGGGATTAGGATCAGCACTGACCACCCTTGAAACTGGCTGTGTGGCCTTGGCAAACAGTTGTCAGAACATTTCTGGGGGGCTCTGGGGAACTGTGGTGAACATTCTTCTGGACCAGTCTGAATGTAGTATGGTGCGCCGGGAGGTATGTCTGTTTTTTTTTTTAGCACTCTCTCTCCTTTTTTCCTTAGAAATTCTTTGTGATAGTGTCCATAAGCGATGCGTGACTCCCGATCAACATGGTGGACTGACCACTGACCATTTTCTCTTCCACCTGTGACAAAACCCAAACAAAATGACAGTAGAGGACTTAAAAGGTGTTACTTCACAGTAAAAACTGGAGTTCTTCCTTCCGATAAGATCAAATCAGAATATACTACGTTTTAATGTGAACTCTTTTATTTTATTATGCATTGAAAAGTAGTTCACAGGAAAAAATTACTTTTATGTTATCTCAGCATTTACGGGTCTCCTATTTATGAAGCTTTAATATGGATAAGAGGCTGTCAAAATACCTTTCTTTGTTGTATTTATCATGTTATAACATGAGAGGGAAAAATAAACCCTATTTTAAGTCTTTCTAAATAGTTTGTTTTTTTATTGCTGCTTTTATTAAAGTAATGATTCATGTAAGTAGTTTTAAAACAATAATCAAATTGTACTTAGAGGCTTATGAAAAAAAAAACAGCAGTTCCTGAGTCCACCATTAGACAGTCCCCAGTTCCAAGCTCAAAAGGCTAGTTTTCTTGCCATTTGACTTCATGTTTTTAAGTGGTAATGTTTATATTTACAGCTTCTTCTTGATTTATCAACTTTAAAGCTTTTCTATCACTTCTAGTTACCATGGTTTTGAAATGCCAGTTTCTGAGACCGCCCTGTTAATCCTGTCATTCTCCCATTATGGTTATATCATCTTTCATTAAGTAGACAATCAGTGCTCCTATTTGTATGATTATTTAATTTGATCATCTGCAGGATCCAGTCAGTCAAGTTGGACATTTGTGGTTTGTATTTCTAGTTGGCAAGTTTTTATTGAAAAGAGTCTGTATAAAAGAAGGGAGAAAGAGCAGGGAGAGGGGTGTGTGTGTAATTTTAAAGGGGACAGTAGAAACCTCAAAAGTATATGTTGTAAATGCTCCCAGAAGAGTTTATATTATACAAATCATTTTGTAATAAAGCTGAATTCTGAAATAGGAAAATATATATTTTCTGATGAAATAATTTCACATACTGTTAGGTCATTACCTACCAAGGTCATCACCTAACAAGAAATACAGTTTGACAGTTCTCATAATGACCTCTCAGCATGTGCAGTTAACCAGAGATAAGTCTTTTGCTATACATTACAGTATATTGGTTATTTCAGAGATGACAACAAGATGGCAGTATTGACTTTTTTTTTTTTTTTTAATTTTCAGGCTGCATTTATTCTTCAGAATCTCCTTGTAATTCCAATGCCTACAGAAATTATAAAGGATTATACTTGGCAGGTGGGTGATTTTAAATAATTATCAACCTAGTAGATATTTCAAATTAATTGGTGATAAATTTCAGCATAAGTAGTATATTTCATTTCTGATGAAACCATATACAATGTACTATATATTCTCTTAAAACAGAATATAGAGTTTTTCTTATGCTGACCATACTTAAAAATTCTCCTCTGTAGTGTTCAAAATAATATTAAATGTTAATAGTTGACATGATGTTTACTATATTTTAGACGCTCTTCTAGAAATGTAAGACATGGTAACTTGTATAATTGTTTGAGTTGTGAGCTGTTACTATCCTCGTTTTTTAAGTTTAGGAACTTTTGAACGGAGAGTTTGAATAATTTGCCCTAAATCACACAGCTAGTGAGTGGTGCACCTTTGCTTTGAGTCTAGGTAGTCTCTTACTCACTTCACTGTATGACTTTTCTATTTAGTAATGATAAACAAGTTTGTAGCTATGTGTTGATATTAACAACACAATTCTTATCTTATTTGTTAATTACTTCCCTGTATTATTATAATAAGGGATCTAATTTGTGATGTTAAGCAGTTTATTGTAAATCTCTTGCATGTTTGGCATGTTTTGTGCGTGTAAGTATGTTGTAACTTACTTAAAAGATAGAATTTCCTGAAGCTGTGAAAATTGGCTCTGTGTTTTTGAATGAATGCTTTACTGTATATCATTAGATAAGGTAATGCATTAAAGGGTCCCATTGCCTGTAACAAATATACCTTGGTTAATAAACAACCACATAACCCCATTCTCCTTGTATTTCTATTTTACCTGATTCTTCTAGACCTCTACATTTAAAATAACGACAATGTCCACCATGTGCTGGCTGTTCCTTACGGTAGTCTTATTTCTTGTATAAATTGCTCTGTTTAGGAAGAGTAAGCTCACAATGTTGGTAGATTGATTAAAACACAACAATAACAACTTCATAGTCATAAAAGACATTGAATATTGAAATAAGAGTTTTAATTATAGTGATGTGTATAAATGTTTTTAAGAAGAGTGTTAATACAAATAACCTTGTTAGTTTAATTGTGTCTTTAACTTGTGAATTCCTTTATCTTTCTGAAGAGTAAGTTAAAATATCTGTCTTTTCTTGATGATGGGGAGGGTGGTGAAAGAAGAGACACACACACAAATCTTATGGTTAAAGGGAAACTTAGAATATGTTTTGACCATATCTTTTTCGTTGGCTGTTAGATTTATGTTTGCTGTCTTTTATTTTTCTCTTTCTTATTGCCTGTTTTAAAATCTTAACTTTATTATCATTTCCCAGAAAACAGAAATATTTATAAACTAACGATGGGATTGTTTGCAAATTTTAAACCAATCCTCATTGCTTGATATTTGCTATTAGATATTCCAGGAAAAGTAGTAAGTGACAATGCAAAGTATTGAGGAAAAATGCAAAGAGAAAAAATTATGTAATAACAGATTCTTTTCAGCCTCCTGGTGGCAGTTCGTGTGTGTGTGTGTGTGTGTGTGTGTGTTTTCCTCGTCAGGATTAATTCAGTGGGAAGTAATGTGGCAAATTTTGCCTTAGATATTGATGGACCTTTTCATTTTATCTGGCTTAGTGATAGGTATAAAAAATAATTGCAAACATAACTACTTGGACCACCTTATTTCATATATTTTAACACCTGTTATTTTACATGATATGTAAATTGAAAAATACTGCTTTTATTGTGTTTTTGGCTCAAGTACATGATTTCTTGGTTAAAGCTGATCATTTCATAGAAACATTTTAAATGAAATGGCCCCTCAAGAGAGATATCAGCTTTGTGCCTTCAGTGGATGTTTAGGCAGCAAAGGCTTGGAACATTTTTGTCCTAGGTCAGGCTACTGTAAGTGTGTAAGGACAGAAGCAGAGTGGAAGGAGATGGTAGCATCTGAGACCCATTCATTTCCTTGAGAGGAGAAATGGATCTTTTTTAAAGAAATTGTTTGATAAGTCAGTGTCTCCTTCTTCTTCCCCTATTTTCCTACAGGGGCCCTGTGTCCATGATGAGGACTCTGGCCTGTCACTCATTGGAAAACCTGCCCTTCAGGCTCTTTTATATCATTGCCATTTTTATGAACATTTGAATCAGATGGTAAAACATTGTTACCTAGGGCGGTGTATGTTTGATTTGAATTTTTCTGCTTTTGATAGAAATTCAGAAGGCAGTGATTTAAATGGTAAGTACAATATCTTTATATTTTTATTTTTATAATATTTAACTTTTAAAAACTGGTAAAAATACATATATTTGTTTAAAAAATTTGAAAAATGAAGAAAAGTATGCAGGGAAAACATTCATTTCCATTTCACCACCCAGATAGATATATTTTCTTCCAGTCTTCTTTTTCTGTATAGCTTTCTTTGTTTTATGTAATTATGTTAATATCTATGTACATGTTTGTATTTCCTTCTTTCATTAAATATTGCCAAGCATTTTTCTATGTTATAAATTCTTGATAGAAATCATTTTTGACATCTTATTAATGTTTCATAAGTTATGCCCATCAGTACAGTTTTATATTTTCTTTTTTTAAAAAAATTTATTTATTATACTTTAAGTTCTGGGGTACATGTGCAGATTGTGCAGGTTTGTTACATAGGTATACACGTGCCATGGTGGTAGTTTGCTGCATCCATTGCCCTGTCATCTACATTAGATACTTCTCCTGATGCTATCCCACCCCAATCCTCCCACCCCCTGTTACTCCTCCCCTTTACCCCCATCCCCTAGGCCCCGGTGTGTGATGTTTCCCTCCCTGTGTCCATGTGTTCTCATTGTTCAACACCCACTTATGAGTGAGAACATGTGGTGTTTGGTTTTCTGTTCTTGTGTCAGTTTGCTGAGAATGATGGTTTCCAGATTCATCCATGTCCCTTCAAAGGACATGAACTCATCATTTTTTATGGCTGCATAGTATTCCCTGGTGTATATGTACCACAATCTCTTTAACCAGTCCATCACTGATGGGCATTTGGGTTGGTTCCAAGCCTTTGCTATTGTGAATAGTGCTGCAATAAACATACATGTGCATGTGCCTTTATAGTAGGATTATTTATAATCCTTTGGGTATATATCCAGTGGGATTGCTGGGTCAAATGGTATTTCTACTTCTAGATCCTTGAGGAATAACCACACTGTCTTCCACAATGGTTGAATTAATCCACACACCCACCAACAGTGTAAAAGTGTCCCTATTTCTCCACATTTTCTCTAGCATCTGTTGTCTCCTGATTTTTTTTAATGATCACCATTCTAACTGGCGTGAGAGGTGGTATCAATGTAGTTTTGATTTGCATTTCTCTAATGACCATTGATGCTGAGCTTTTTTTCATATGTTTGTTGGCCACATAAATGTCTTCTTTTGAAAAGTGTCTGTTCATATCCTTTGCTCACTTTTAGATGGGGGTTTTCTTTCTTATAAATTTGTGTAAGTTCTTCATAGATGCTGGATATTAGCCCTTTGTCAGATGGGTAGATTACAGAAATATTTTCCCATTCTGTTGGTTGCCAGTTCACTCTATTGATAGTTTCTTTTGCTGTACAGATGCTCTTAAGTTTAATTAGATCCCATTTGTCTATTTTGGCTTTTGTTGCCATTGCTTTTGGTGTTTGAATCATGAAGTCCTTGCCCATGCCTGTGTCCTGAATGGTATTGCCTAGGTTTTCTTCTAGAATTTTTAGGGTTTTAGGTCTCATGTTTAAATCTTTAATCCATCTGGAGTTAATTTTTGTATTAGGTATAAGGAAGGCATGAAGTTTTAGCTTTCTGCATATGGCTGGCCAGTTTTCCCAACATCATTTATTAAATAGGGAATCCTTTCCTCATTGCTTGTTTTTGTCAGGTTTGTCAAGGATCACATGGTTGTAGTTATGTGGCGTTCTTTCCGAGGCCTCTGTTATGTTCCATTGGTCTATATCCCTGTCTTGGTACCAGTACCATGCTGTTTTGAGTATAGTAGCCTTATAATATAGTTTGAAGTCAGGTAGTGTGATGCCTCCAGCTTTGTTTTTCTTTTTTTTTTTTTTTTTGCTTAGGATTGTCTTGGCTATGCGGACACTTTGGTTCCATATGAAGTTTAAGGTGGATTTTTCAATTCTGTGAAGAAAGTAATTGGTAGCTTGATGGGGATAGCATTGAATCTATACTTTGGGCAGTGTGGCCATTTTCATGATATTGATTCTTCCTAACCATGAGTATGGAATGTTTTTCCATTTGTTTGTGTCCTCTCTTATTTCCTTGAGCATTGGTTTGTAGTTCTTGAAGAGGTCCTTCACATCCCTTGTTAGTTGTATTCCTAGGTATTTTATTCTCTTTGTAGCAATTTTGAATGGGAGTTCACTCATGATTTGGCTTTCTGTGTGTCTGTTATTGGTGTGTAGGAATGCTTGTGATTTTTGCACACTGATTTTGTATTTTGAGACTTTGCTGAAATTGCTTATCAGCTTAGGGAGATTTTGGGCTGAGACGTTGGGGATTTTTAACTACACAGTCATGTCATCTGCAAACAGGGATACTTTGATGTCCTCTCTTCCTATTCAAATATCCTTCATTTCTTTATCTTACCTGATTGTCCTTGCCAGAACTTCCAATACTATGTTGAACAGGAGTGGTGAGAGAGGGCATCCTTATCTTGTGCCAGTTTTCAAAGGGAATGTTTCCAACTTTTGCCCATTCAGTATGATATTGGCTGTGGGTTTGTCATAAATAGTTCTTATTATTTTGAGATATGTTCCATCAATACCAAGTTATGTTATGCCTATCAGTACAGTTTTATAGTTTCTTTCTCTATTAATGTCTTAAACTTTTTTTGAGCTTTCATTTCTAGGTAATGTAAATTTTTTCATCCTTCTTGTGAATGAGACCTTTTCCCACTACATTTTGTAATTTATTTTGCCCATGTATCAAAAGCTGTTTATTGGCTGGGCGCTGTGGCTCACGCCTGTAATCCCAGCACTTTGGGAGGCCGAGGCAGGTGGATCACGAAATCAGGAGATCGAGACCATCCTGGTCAACATGGTGAAACCCCGTTTCTACTAAAAATACAAAAAATTAGCTGGGCACGGTGGTGTGTGCCTGTAATCCCAGCTACTCAGGAGGCTGAGGCAGGAGAATTGCCTGAACCCAGGAGGTGGAGGTTGCGGTGAGCCGAGATCGCTCCATTGCACTTCAGCCTGGGTAACAAGAGTGAAACACCGTCTCAAAAAAAAAAAGCAAGCTGTTTATTTTAGTATGTTTCTCATTTGTCACAGTATTTTCCTGAAACCTGTTTATTCCTTTTGTTTGTAGGTTCTCTTAGATTTGCTGAGTATAAGATCTGAGCACATAAAAATAATAAAATACATTTCATAATAAATAGTAATTTAATACTGTAAATAGCTTGTATTTGTAAATTCATTTTAAAGTAATTTTTTAGAATCTTGCCATAGATTGAAACTTACAGAAAAGGTTCAAGAATAGTAGAAGAAAATTCTCAAATGTTAACATTTTACTATATTTACTTTCTGCTTCATGTGTGTATATGTGTATAAACGGAAATGTGTGATCTCTCTGTATCCTTTCTGAGCCATTTAAGAGTAAATTGAAGACATGAATTTCCTTTATCCCAAATTATTGAGTGTGAATTTATGATTTACTTTTCTGTTACATCTTGGAGGAATCAAGAAAATGACATCTGATGAAGTTTTGAACATTTTAAATAATTATCCCTATTAGAAAAGTGACTGACTTAATCGTGCAAATTTCTCTGGATCTGTTACTCAGAGCATGGCTCAAGCTAACAGCATTGGCATCTTCTGTGAACTTGTTAGAAATGCACATTCAGGGCTTCCACTCTGACCTGGGGTATTGGAACCTCTGGGGTTGGGGCTGCAGCAACTGCTTTAGCAAGCGCTCAGTGATTCTTATGCACACACAAACAACAAACAACTTTTACATTTGTTTTTTTAAAAATGGTCTATCTCAGAAGCTAAATCCATATACATTTTTTTTTTCTTTAGTTTTGAATTGGTTTCCCATAATGAGTAGTCTTTTTTTTGAGACGGAGTTTCGCTCTTGTTACGCAGGCTGGAGTGCAATGGCGCGATCTCGGTTCACCACAACCTCCGCCCCCTGGGTTCAGGCAATTCTCCTGCCTCAGCCTCCTGAGTAGCTGGGATTACAGGCACGCGCCACTGTGCCCAGCTAATTTTTTGTAATTTTTAGTAGAGACGGGGTTTCACCATGTTGACCAGTATGGTCTCCATCTCTTGACCTCGTGATCCACCCGCCTCAGCCTCCCAAATTTTAGTTAATTGTTACAGTTCCCAGGAGGGTTAACAGTTTTCTCTTTGTTGCAGGTTTAGATGACTCATTCAAGTTTTGGAGGCCTCCATCTAGGATATCCAGTGAGGATCCAGATCCAAGTTCTCTCTCCACCTCAGAAACAACGGTACTTGCAAAGAATGCATAAGCGCTTCATTTTGAATCTGAAAAAATTTGAATTTGCATGGTGCGAAAGATAAGAATACAAAGTGTAAGGTTATAACAACTATGATTTATTTGACATGCTGTCTGCAGAATTTTGCTAAATTATTGTATATAACCTGCACATCAGCCATACATTATAGATACTTATTTTGCTTTTCTGTGAGTGCAAGCCACTCTGAAGTAAAGTAACTGTGATCATTAGTGCTGTAGGTAGCAGAATTGGAGTTTGAACAAGGGTGTGCCTTGCAACAGTATAGCTACACTGAATATCCCTTTAGTTGAGAATTTTCAACCTCTCTTTCCTCTCCTTTTGATAGTACAAAAGTGTGAAAATGTGTTTATCATTAGTATTAGAAGAGAACAGGTTGCATATGATTAAAAATGCGTGATTACCCTGAGATCGTGCTTAAGGCAGGGCAATGTGAAGAACATTCAAATGTTCCAATGTGGTGCTGACAACTTGAACACGCTTCTAAATACTTGCATTACATAGAAGTTTATCTGGAGTACCTGAAATTTATATATGCCTGTCTGCATGCCTTCTTTCCTTCCTTTCATTCATTCATTAGTTGCTTTTTTCTGCAGAAAAGTTTGAAACACTAAGTATTTATGAGTAATGATTGATGCTAGCTTTCAGTTATTTATAAACATACAGAATCATTTATTCTCAACTGGATAGCATTACCTTTAATTTTAAAGAGTTTTTGGAATAATTACTATGTTATAGAACATATTAGGAAGACGAGGGTTTGATGAATCTGTTTCCAGGAACAAAAATAATATGAGAACAATAATTGTTATATAGATATGATAATGTAAAGGTTATGTTTAGTCAGTCTCTTAGCTTCCTAAGAGACTGATACCTTTTGCTACAGTTTTAAGTCTTTTTTCCCTAGATTCAAGGGAAGTATTTATGTTTAGTGCTACATCCAACCTTCATGTGGAAAACTAAGATGATTACCCGAGTTCCACTAGATGTCATGCTTTCCTTTCCAACGTGGAGATAGTGTGTACCTTTGTCTCAACAAGAGTAATAATATAAATGCCGAAGTGAAATGCATTAATTGGTTATTTAGTTCCAGAAGGACAACATGAATGTGTGCTTAAAAGTAAATTTTCTTAGGTTAACCTATTTGTCAGAAGCCTGTAGACTAGCCTAGAAACCTTTGTACATACTTCAGTTATTTGCTTTTAGTAGGTATTCAGTAAATAGTGATTGTTCTAATTAACTTTGAGTTATCGTAGCTATTTTGTGGTGAGCACTCAAGTTGTATTTATCCTATACAAGAAAACATGTCTACTTTTTACTTTCTTTTTTGGGGGGTTCCAAACAATTTTTAGAATGGGTGACTTTTATTTACAAAAATAGTCTTAGTATCCTAATTCTGCTAGTTGTCGTATTTTCTTTACCATACCCACAATGATCTATGCCAGGAATACTTTCAACTAAAGGTGCCAGTGCTTAGACCAAGTCATACTTTCTCATTTTTAGAAAATGTTTAAGTTACAAAATAAGGTATAAGTCGAGTGGATCTATATCTTATTAATCAGCTTATCCGCTTTTTTATATCTTCGTTTTATCTCAGAATTGAGAAAAAAACGCAATCTTTTATTGGTTGATTGGCTGGTTTTTCTGTTTTGTCTTTCCAAGGAAAACATCATCTTTTGATCTGGGTCTAATCATCCAGCATGCTCCTCCTGGGTCACTATCCGTTTTGTGCTGTTAATGCCAAGTTAGGGACTTTCGTGCTGTTATCTAATGAATATTAGTTCAGTTGTTTGGCAAGCTTTGTAAGGATTGTTGGGTCCTGTATGTTTTATAAAGTACAGATAGAGTAAGCAGAGTGTCACTGTTAGATTGGGGGCATCGGCCTTATAAATGCTTCCTCAGGAATGGCCTCTATCAACTCAGTATTCTCTTTCTCTAGGGTAGGAGGATTCAGCCATTAGGTGTTTTTCCTCTTGAAATCGCATTTATACTTCTGAGAGGTATCCAAGATGGACAGGTCTCTTACATACCTGTGTGCAGTAACAGTTTTATGACCAAAATTTGGTCTTTCCTGTTGTTCCTGAGTAGAACATGTCTGTATTATTATTTTTTTTAACAGTTGTCAAAATAGAATATGTGGGAGATGTAATTTTTTTCTTTTTGAGCCTTTCTTTGTGAAATATGTGATACTTTCAAACTTTCAGAGCACAGATTTAATGAATGCTGATTTTAGTTTTTCTTAACATTGAAAGAGAATTTTTATACTTCATAGTCTTAAAAAAACTGGGCCGGGCACAGTGGCTCATGCCTGTAATCCCAGCACTTTGAGAGGCCAAAGTGGGCAGATCACGAGGTCAAGAGATCGAGACCATCCTGTTCAACATGGTGAAACCCCATCTCTGTTAAAAATACAAAAATTAACTGAGTGCAGTGGTGCACGCCTGTAGTCTCAGCTACTCAGCAGGCTGAGGCAGGAGAATCACTTGAACCTGGGAGGCGGAGGTTGCAGTTAATTGAGATTGCGCCACTGCACTCCAGCGCCTGGCGACAGAGCAAGACTCTGTCTCAAAGAAACAAAAACAAACAAAAAAACCCTGAAAAGCATTGTTATTATCTTGCAAAAGGGGAAATTTGGGTATGGAGTGAAGTCCCACTCCTAGCATAGTAGATGGTAGAACATTCTTTTGAGTCCAGAAGTGTGTTTGCCCCTTCCTTCACTCTAAGGCCAGATGTGATTGATCCCATAAAAGATGTTATAGTCAAGGGGCAGTGAGATTTCTTTAGAAGAAATGATGAAATGAGAAGTGATTTTGTGTAGGACATGGCAATTTAAATGGGCTTTAAAATATTATCCCCTTCTCTTTTATACACATGGACACATTTGCAAGGGGCTGAAAAGATTCAAATATTCCTTAGGATTCAGTGACCACTTAAATGATAAAAGTCTACATGAGAAGGTAAAGTATAATTAGAAAGTAACTGAATATAAAGTTGTGTGGTACTGAAGGCATTAACATTCAGAAAATGCAAGAGGTTGTTTGGAGTAGAATGTGGGAGGGAAAGCTAAAGTTTGGTGACCTGACTGATCAGATAGGAGTTAGTTAAGAAAACTGAGTCAGCTTTTGGACTTGAAGAGGTAAGATATAATAGCTATAAAGATAAAGATAAAAGGGTATTTCAGCAGCATGGAATGGCATGAAACATTACAACTGATATGAGCAAAATAGCATTGGCACTCGTTTGATGGTAGTTAAAATTGTTTTATAGAATGAAGAGTAGCCAGAGGACAGTTTTAGCAGTGATGGATCCAAGGGGCTTTTTAAAATAAAGATAGTTTTGACATAGGCATCACTGTTAGGACATATACAGACTTCCAGTGTGGTGACCCCAGGAAAGCTTGAGGAGGTGGCAGTTTGTGTGGTGGTGGAGAGAGAAAGAAAATGATATACTCTGTTTAAATAAATTTCAGCCACCTGTGGATTACCGAGAGTCTAACAACCTTATGTATTTAGTTAGGAGGAAAATACAAGTGAGACAAGCTCTTGGGAATTTGTACTCTTAAATTTCACAGAGGACGGCACAGGGACTGTGACTATGTTGTGGTGATGATCTGTCCCTTTAAGCGGTCTTTTCCTTAGATGTGCAAGAGTTGTCTATCATCTTCTGCTCATTTCCTTCAGAGGAATTTTCTGAACTTTCTTTTTTTAAGTATATTTTACACATCCATTTGAATTATGAATCTATTAGTTACAGTGATTTAAACTTCTTGTTATAATTTGGTTAGAATTAATGATTACAAATTGAGAAGCATGCCAAAGCTTTTCTTCTCTTGGGCATATAGAGAAAAGTATTATTTCTTAAAATGAAAACATGGAACTTAGAATCTCATAGAAAACCTTCACATCTTATAATTTCCCATGTTTTAAAAGCATGGCTATATTTGTACTTTATTTTTTTCACACTACAATCCTTATTTTCTCCCTTTATACCTTTTTAAAATCAAACTTTTTTTGGCACCAGTACTGCTTTTGAGGGAAGTTGATGAAACTGTTACAAGATCATTTTGACAAATAAAATATTCAAGTTCTGAATTAACTTTCAAAAAGTGAAATCACTTTTTTCTGTAAGGCAGATACAAAGAAAATCATTTTTGAACATTGCTGCATTTTGGCTTATATGACAAATTGTCTGGTTTTTGTGTTCCAATTCTACTTGGATATGGCAAATGGCTACTATTTTCAGGGATTTCAAAGGGACTTTCTTAATTTTAGCTGCTTATCTTACACTGAAGCATAATTTAGAAACCGTCTTTAGTTACCAAATCTGCTTACAAACGCATTGAAGACTTTTTTTCTTTTTATAAGCAAGATTTGAGTCAATTTTATTTTTATTCTCCGTTAGCTTTGAGCTATAAATGACAAATAAAATTGTATATATTTAAGGTATACAATGAGATTATTTTATATATGTATATGTGGTGAAATGATTACCACAGTCAAATTAATTAACCTTAGAGTTAACCTTTTTTGTGTGTGTGGTAAGAACACTTAAAGTCTACTCTCTTAAGACATTTCAAGTAGACTGTGCACTATTATTAACCATATTCACCACGCTGCACATTAGATTCCCAGGACTTACCCATCTTATCTGAAAGTTTTCACTCTTTGACCAAACATCTCCCCCTTTCCCCAACTCCTATCGGCTCTCAACATCCATTACACAATCTGAGTCTGTTTTAGGACAGTATCTTTAAAAGTAGCATCAACCTGCTCTAAAAAGCTTGTATTGTCTTCTGTAATATCTGCAAAGTGATAAGGCTAGAAATATATTCAAATTCAGGTTTCATTTTGTCTTATCAAGGGAATATAAATTGAAGATCTTAGGATATGTTATGTGGTAGACGTGAAAACAAGGGAAAAGTCTAGACCATGATTTTGCGCTTAGCCCATTTTAGTGAATTGAGCAAGTGATAGATGTAAGAATTAGACTCTCGCTGTTGTAAGAGGACAACCCTAGGCATCCCACTTGGGGCTTCCTACTTACTGTGAGGTAGAGAGCAGCATGAAGCTTGACAGGAAGGGATGACTTAGGCTGGCTCAGTTTTACTCTTAAACAAAGCCAACTCCCCCTCCTTCAGCATTCCCTCCTCTGTCTGGGATGGGACAGAGGTCTTAGTCTAGCTGAAGTTTCATGGGGACACGGGGATCACGGAGAAAGAAGCCGCTCCTTTCAAACGAGGCCAGCCACCTTTCTCAAGAGGTACATCTGATGACATACTCTGATTTTAATGCATTTATGCTGTCATTCATGAATGCAGTCCTGGACTGAGAATCCTGATTAGTCTCAACTTCAACAAATCCCTTAACTTGTGGTCCTTTTCTCTAAATGAGGACCTGGACTAGATCAGGCTTTTTCTACCTATAGCTTTGTAGGCTCATACTGCACCTTGTAGTAGCTAGTACTTGAATGCCAAAATTGTCTAGTTATTACTTGGATTTCAAGGTGAAAAGTAACATTTTTCATATCAGTGTACATTATCAAATATAACCAAATATTATATTGGAGATTATTTCTAAACAAGCAAGGATTTGAGCACAGAAATGGAGCAATTTTTTGTTTTTACTTATTAAAATAGCAATATGTTAATTTAGCAAATTTAAAAAATAGAGAGAGGCTAGTAGAAATATAAATCATCCATAATCAAGTTTAAAGCACCATTTAAGGCAATCTTTGTGTTTCTCCAACCACATGGCGTAAGTTATAATACAACTATCAGGTTCTTTTTAAAAGGATCTTTTCTAAACTTGTGTATCCCTTCTGTGGACTATACTAGGGAAAATCGCATCCTTATTAATGCCCGACCTTTGTTCACAAATCACAACTTAGCTTTCTTCTAATGAGCCAGGTATTTATTGGCCCTTATAAGCTTTCTTTCCGCACACTGATCTTGAAACTGCAAACCAGGTACATACTTCTATTTATATCACTAATAAGGCCTTCTTGAGTCTTTGTCAGCTGAAGGAATGTTCAGTGAAATGATAAAGGATTTCAGCATCATTATCTCCTTAACTTTTCTTATACAACCAAGAGTTGTGGCAGGAGCCAGATAGATTAGCTTCTACATAGTTCGTGGTATCAGTCTTGGCATATGATTTTCTTCACGGAACTATAAATGTTGTCTTGATATCTGTTGATGGGAACATTTTTTCACATTCATCCCATTGCCAATTGTAGGTGAATATATTTTTTAAATTAAACAAGCTTTTGGTTATTTTTACCTAGTATCTGGATCTAATATTATATAAAATAAGGCATTTAATGTTTGTTATGTTTGACTTATTTAGACTGAATTTTTTTCTGGATTTAGCTTTTAGGTCATTTTATATGCTTAGCTTACATTTTTTAGTGGCAGCTTCCTCACTTATTTCTTGGTATCATGACTGTTACATTTACTTAATGTGGTGAAAGAGTCTGGAGTGGTACTTTATAACTTCTGTTGATCGCTTATGTTGTGTTGCATGCACTGATATGGGGGCTACCCAGATATGGGCACTTCATGTTATTTCACAGAAGAGAAATTGATGGTTAAGAAAAGAGTTATCTGATTTCACCATGTAAAGTGTTTTTCACCTAAGAGGTGCAAAACACATCGCTTTGTGCTTTTTCAGTCTTAGAAGGTCGGTCTGCGCATTATAAACCTGTCGATGAAATTGTATTTGCTTTCCACAGATTTTTCTGTTATGTTAAATGTTGTATTCTGAAGCAGTGTCAGCATATTGGCACAACTTTTTAATGTTCTTCCTTGATATGAGATGAGGTGGAGAAAAATCTTTTAATACTTCTGATTTTTTAGGCATTATTAAAATTTATGTGTGCCATTTGGAACATTAAAAAATATCTTTGTTATGAATCAAGAAATACAAAATATCACAATGAAAATATAGTTAAAGTGGTATATTTTAGCCTTTCTAACATTTGAGCAATGAGGGAATTGACCTTATGGGAACCTTAAACTCCTAAATGAACCTCAAGTTAAAACTTTGCTCCTTTGAGTCACTGATTTATGTAAACAATGATAATTCCTTTAAGAAGAAGTAGAAAATGCTGTTTATAAAAACTACCGTAACTCCTAAGATATGAATGTTTTCTAGTTATCTTAACCAGTATAATTTTTTTATAAACCTTCTTGTTTAAGGATATCTTGTGTATATGTTGCTTGTGTTTCATTTTCCATACTGTCACCTTAATAGGTAAAATACTTTACTGATTCCTAGGTGGCACCTTCGTCGGAGAGTGCTGAATTTCAGCCACTTGTGCAGTCAACAACACTTCTACCTGAAGCCTCCCATGACCAGTTTGTGGCTCAAGGTATCCTTTAAAAGCGAAGACATTCTATCTTCAAAAAGAAAAGTGACAAGTTGGTCCAGACAGATATTTTGAAAGTAAATGTCTAAAGAACATAATTTTAGTGAAATAAGTGATAGACCATTATGAAATAAATTTAGAATAAATATATCAGAAATTAACAAAACAAATGCTCTTAACTAATAAATGGAATTTGGCTAGCAAATAAATAGTCTGATTCCCATATGGCTCCTTATTAGACTCTCATAGGTATTTGGCATTAGAATTTGGGATCTGATGGGTATAACTTTATCTTTTTCCCTTATTTTGAGAAAACACTTTACTACAAGTAATCCACTTTGAAAGTAAAGAGATTCTGTTCTTTTCTAAGGCTGCGCTTCCATTTAAAAGCATATAAAATGTATTCAGTCTTTATTAGAAATACACAATATACAACTTGGGACTTATTTTTGTTAATGGCAATATATAAACTTTACTCCTGGTACTGGGAACTGCTTCCAACACTGCTGTGCTTCAAATTTTATATATTTTGAAGATTACAGCTTAGCTTTTTGTTTTGTTTTGTTTTGTTTTAATTCTAGAGAGTATATAAGTATTATTCAATAGCATTAAATTCCTGACCTGAAAAAATATACTACCTACAAAGAAAGTAATTTTAAACACTGGCATACATATTTGTATATGTAGAGAAAATGCTTTCTGAAATCTTTAGAAAAACTTGCTGAATTAAAACTTTGAATTTTCATTACAATATTGTTACCAATAATTTCCTAAACAGTGTTCCATTTTGGTTTTTAGTGATTCATGTTCACGATATCTAAAAATATTTAACTGTAGGAAATACTCATTTGATCTTCTTTTTTTTTTAAAGCATCAGTGTTTTAATACCATGAAATATAAGTACAAAACACTGTATACTTTTTAACTACATGGAGATGAACTAATACATTTATATTTTTATCAGAATCTGTACCACCCAGCACTGGCCAACGTACAAGCAGCTTTCCACAGGGATTTTTTTTTACTATTCCTATAAGGTTTTCTCATGAGTGAAAAAGCTCACAACTCTGTTCAGCCATTGCAGATTTACATTTATCTTAATATTCCTGTTCAAGATGCTTTGGAGAACTGCTAAGAACTGCAAAATCACCTTAGCCAAGAGTTTCAAATGAGTAACTGTATTTCATATTGGCCAAGATCTCCCTTATGCTGGCACTGCAAAGACATGATGTACTTATCTAAGGTTAAAAAAAAAATGTTGTCTTAATAGCCCTCTTACTGTGTAACAAGGCAAATCACCATTTCCTGACATGTCCAAAATGTCATAGTAGTTATTTGTTAAGCAGTAAGTCATGAAACCCCTTTTATAGAAGACAATAGCAATGGAGGATCACTAAATCCTACATATACCAAATAACAGCAAGTTTACAAATACTCCCAATATCTGTCTTCTCGACTTCTAAAACGGTTTAACCACATCAAGCGAGAGTCACATTGGCCAATAAGAAAGGGAAAAAGTAAACCGTGCTAGTGTCTGGCATTCAGCTTCCATAGCATGTCTCACAGTTTTTGGCCTTTTCAGCTAAGAGTTTTCTTATGACAAAAATAATGATTAAAATAGCATTAGCTTTGCTGAGAAATGTGAAAATAAAAACACAAAGTCAAAAATATTTGAAACTGATTTTGTTTTTATAAATAAATAAAATGGTGTTCATCTCTTCTTAAAATTCTTGCTGGTAAAACAGCAAAGATTCAAAGTTATGTCAACCTGTAAGGATAAAGGAGTATTTGAGAAAACAAGTTTGGAAAATGAACCACATTTTTAATTGCCAGCATTATGCTTTATTCTTCTTGGTAGAATCATCCCTGTTTCTTCTTTGTACATCCCAATTATATACCCTGGCCACTGACTTCTGTGGTAGTAAATTGATCTTGAAGAAAGTCAAGGTCTTCCTCAAGGGAATCAAGATTTTTTGTGGCAGTTGATAAATTCTTTTCCAACAATGCCTGAGCTTCACCAATATCATATTCAAGCATTACATTAGCCCCCAACCACAGACACACTTTATCTTTGGGAAGAACTGAAGCTTTGCAGTACAGGTTATCTGCCAGTGACAATCTGGTCTCCAGTGAGTTGGTGGACTCTTTTCTTCTGCATGTATTTTAGAATTTCCAAAGTCTGTTTAATTTCAGGTATCTGACCTTTTAGCCTTCTTCACTTTTGAGCAAGGTCGAGTTCCATAAACTTACACTTCTGGTACTGTTCATCCAGCTTCTTTAGTACTGTATCTGCAGTCTCATTCCCAGGCTGTTTCATGAAGGAATCTACGTCTTCCACAAACAAGGCCTCAGGAATTCCCAGGTGGAGCCGTCGCCCATTCCCTGTGACCATTTCTCCTTTGTCACAACCATCCTTAGCAGCCGCCATCTTGAGGATGCTAGTGCATGACTGCCTCTCATTTGATCTTCTGAAGATCAAAAGGGGCCGGGCGCGGTAGCTCACGCCTGTAATCCCAGCACTTTGGGAGACCGAGGCGGGCGGATCACTAGGTCAAGAGATCGAGACCATCCTGGCCATGGTGAAACCCCATCTCTACTAAAAATACAAAAATTAGCTGGGCGTGGTGGCACGTGCCTGTAGTCCCAGCTACTCAGGACGCTGAGGCAGAAGAATTGCTTGAACCCTGGAGGTGGAGGTTGTGGTGAGCTGAGATTGCACCACTGCACTCCAGCCTGGCAACAGAGCAAGATTCCGTCTCAAAAAAAAAAAAGAACAAAAGGAGCAAAGTCAGATTGTTTAAATGGCCGAGGACATAGGGCATGAAGTGAAATTCGATCATGAATTTCATGAACATTTATCTCTAAAATCATGTTGCCTTACTCTTATTTTTAACAGCTTTATTGAGCTATAGTTCACGTAGCATATAATTCACTTGTTTAAAGTGTTTAATTTATTGGCTTTAAGTATATTAAGAGTTGTGCAACCATCACCACAATCAATTTTAGGATATTTTCATTATCCCGCAAAAACTTTGTACCTGTCAGCAGTCACTCCCTGTCTACCCCATCCTTGGCACCCTGTGAAATCACTAATCCACGTTCCCTCTTTATAGATTTGCCTGTTTTGGACATTTTATATAAGTGGAATCATATAACATGTGGTCTTGTGTGACTGGCATCTTTCACTTAGCGTGCTGTTTTCAAGGTTCATCCATGTTCTAGCGTGTATCAGAACTTCATTTATTTATTGACAAATAATATTCAACTGTATGAATATATTACATTTACCCATCATCACTTGACATAGGCATTTGTGTGGATATATAGGCTTTTTCTTTTTTGTTTGGATTACTCTTGATTTTAAATTTGTTTCATTTTCAAGTATTATGTTTTTTTTCTTTTTTTGAGACAGAGTCTTACTCTGTTGCCCAGGCTGGAGTGCAGTGGCATGATCTCAACTCACTGTAGCCTCTGCCTCCTGGCTTCAAGTGATTCTCGTGCCTCAGCCTCCTGAGTAGCTGGGATTACAGAGGTGTGCCACCCCATCTGGCTAAATTTTGTATTGTTAGTAGAGATGAGGTTTCACAATGTCACCCAAGCTAGTCTCCTACCCCTGACCTCAGGTGATCCACCTGCTTTGGCCTCTCAAAGTGCTGGGATTACAACATAAGCCACCATGCCCAGCCACAAGTATTATGCTTTAAATGCATATTTATGCAGTTTTACTGGTTGCCAATCATTTCACTACATATATATATGACCATATATATATATATGTAGAAGAAAGAATACCCACAGAAAGGGGAGGTGTGAAGAGAGGATTCATCTCCTCACAATTACCTTGTGATGTATGACACTATCAGGTATATTCCCTTTTTCCTAAACCTGGAAATAAGAGATCAGAGCCTCAAATGTCTGCCTTAGTTTTACAAAATAAGTAGCCAGAAAATTGAAAAAATTATAACAATTTTCTGAACTAGCTCTTTTTGCAGAAAAATTCAAAAAAGGTTTCTATATGCTTGCTCTCAAAATGCTGAAGACATGTAATACATATTTTATGAATACTGAAAGATTACCCCTGAAATAATTTGAACAGTTTTTATTATAATTACCTAAATTTAATTTTTTTTTCATTTTTATTTCCAAACATTTATTATTATTTTTAAAGAGACAGGGTCTAGGTCTGTCACCAGGCTGGAGTGCAGTGGCATGAGCATAGCTCATTGCAGTCTTGAATGCCTGGGCTCAAGTAATCCTCCTGCCTCAGCCTCCCAAGTGGCTGGGATTACAGGCATAATATTTGAGGGGAAAATAACACAAACCCTCATGTAAAAGTAAGCAGAATACATGAAAAGATACTTCATAAAGGCCCTAAAAGTAGCCTTTATCTTTGGATAAATATTATACAAATTAATACTACCCGAGGATACTGTTTATTAAATTGCCAACAATTAAGTATTGGCAGTACATTCTGTTGGTAAGGCAAGGCTGTGGAAAATGAGCACTTTCATTCATTGTTAGAATGCAAATTAGTATAATTCTTTTGGAAGAAAATTTGGCAATAGATAACAAAACTATGTATTTACCTTTGACCAAACAATTCCACTTCTAGGAATTCTCTTTTATTTATCTCCAACAGTATAAAAATACATATGTACTTGATAATTTAGTAAGTATTGTTTGTAATTGTAAAATATTGGAGACAATATAAATGCCTCTAATTAGAAGGGTAGTTTTTAAATAAATATATAACAATATATAGGTAATGATAAATGTATAACAAAATTATTTATAAATACAATTTATTTTTAAAATAATAATGGAGAGCTATAGCTATTAAAAAGAAAAGGGGGTGCTGGGCACAGCAGCTCACACCTATAATCTTAGAACTTTGGGAGGCTGAGGTGGGAGGGTTGCTTCAGGCCATGAGTTTGAGTTCAGCCTGGGCAATATAGTGAGACTGTGTCTCTACAAAATATAAAACACACTTGGCTGGGCATGATGGCACACCTGTGGTCTCAGCTACTCAGGAGGCTGAGGTGGGAGGATCACTTGAGCCCAGGCTTTGAGGCTTCACTGAGCCTTGATTCCATCACTAGACTCTAGCCTCCAGCCTAGGGAACAGAGTAAGACCCTTTCTCAAAAAAAAAAAAAAAAAAGAGAGAGAGAAAAGGGAGGGTATCTTCAAACAGATATGAAACAAATTTTAGGAAATATTGTCAAGTGAAGAAAGACGCACCATGATAAAGAGTATAGTTTATGATATTTGCAGTTTCCTACTTTTTGCAAATGAAAGAAGGGAAAATTTAAAATGAATGTATCTGTGTAGAAAGAAAACAGGAAGGAACAGCTGGACATGAATGAGATTAATTATGAGGATGGGTAGAAGTTAGGTAGGAAATAAGAGAGGATGGGAACAGTGTGAATGCAGTTGAGGGGTGGGGATAGTGACACTTCTCTGCATGTATCTTGTATAGTTTGGCTTTTATAACCATGTATGTTTTACTTGCTGAAAAGAAAAATAAAATCAACAAAACTGGGGAAAAATAACATGGAATACAAACAAATTAATCCAGCTACATTTCACGTGAATAGCACTGAAGTGAGAAAGGAACTAATCCTAGTAACTCTCAGACATATTTTTAGGGCTTCAGTCCCCAGACTAATGGCAAAAAGAACTGTAACCAAGCACTGAACTCTGGTTACTAGTTTTATTTTTTGCAGTATTACTAGTTAGAAATTCTGAAACTACTTAGTGTGTTCGTAAGTCAAGACAAATAAGTAAATATATTGTAGATAATGAAAACCAGATTTTTTACTTTCACATAAGGGAAATTATAAATATGGAAGGAGGAAGGTGTTTAATGTTGGATTATATTCAGAGTGTTGAAGTATATTTGGAGCTTTCTGTATGAATCAGTGATTTTGTTTTTTAAGAGATAGAGTCTCACTCTGTCGTCCAAGTGGAGTGCAGTGCTGTGATCATAGTTCACTGCAGTTGTGACCTCCTGGGCTCAAGTGATCCTTCTACCTCAGCCCCTGAGTAGCTAGCATTACAGGAATGTGCCACCATGCCTGCTTAATTTTTAAATTTTTGTAGAGATAAGTTTCTCTATATTGCTCAGTCTGATCTTGAACTCCTTGCCTAAAGCTATCCTCCTGCCCCAGCCTCCCAAAGTCCTGAAATTACAGGCAAATTAATGATTTCTATTCATAGATATAATATATGCTTATGTACTCAAGGGTACATATGTGCATGCATATATATAAATACACACGTTTTCTAGCCTAGAACCAATGAGACACTAATAGCAATGTATACATTTAGTACCCAAGTCTTGCTCTCCAAACTCCATTCTTTGTTTTAGGGAATCTTGGAACAAATAACCAATTTTAGAGCTTGGGTAGGGAAGAAGAAGATATACCTGGAACATCTTGCTGTGCCAGAAAGTAAGGGAACGCGCAAAGGTTAATAAAAATATTAACTGATGTAGGGTGCAGGTATCTTATTCTAAAGTCTAAAAGTATTTTGGAGAAAAGGGAGCTCTCGTGCAGTGGGAAAGTAGATTTGCACAACCGCTGTGAAGAACAGTATGCAGGTTCCTCAAAAACTAAAAACAAAGCCTACCTCATGATCCAGCGGTCCAGCTACTGAGTGTATATTCAAAAGAAAAAAAGTATATCGAAGAGATAGCTGCACTCCCATGTTGATTGCAACACCTTTCATGATAGCCAAGATGTAGAACTAAGTTCCGTCAGCAAATGAATGGATGAAAAACATGAAACATATATATGCCCAGTGGAATATAACTCAGAGAAAGCAATGAAATCCTGTCATTTGCAACAACATGGATGGAACTGGAGGCCATGTGTTAAGTGAAATAAGCCAGGCACAGAAAGACAAATATTGCAACTCATGTTTGGGAACCAAAAAAAAAAAAAAAAAGTTGCACTCAATAAGATAGAGTAGAAGTAGGGTTACCAGAGGCTGAAAAGCGGAGAGCCAGAGAAAGAGGGAATGGTTAGTGGATACAAAATACAGTTAGGAATGAGGTCTCGTGTTCAGTAGCACAACAGGGTAACTATAGTTAACAATAATTTGTTGTATACTTCAAAATAACTTAGAGAGTAGAGTTGGAATGTTCCCAGCACAAAGAAATGATAAATGTTTCAGGTGATGGGTGTCCTAGTTACCTTGATTTGATCATTGCACATAGTGTGCCTCTATCAAATGATCATGTGTACAATGATTATATAATTAAAAATTTTTTAAACAAGATTTTACTCCTCAAAAAATCTAAAGATAACTTGAATTTGGACACACTTCTGGCCCCTCGAGTTTTAGAAAAATGATTGTAAATCGTCTATTTGTTCCTCCATGTCTGAATGCTTGGGGTGTGCGGTCCCCAACTCTCCATTATCGTTTTCAGGACCTTTCTTCTAATTATAAGAACTTGTGAGTAGTGTACATAGTTGTAAGGTGAATAAAATAGTAATTCTTTTGTTTATTTTCAATAATAGGTCACCAGGAAAGTACATCACCACGGCCACCTCAAGATTCATCTCTTTCTGCTCCCCTGCCCAAACTGTGTGTTTTTGTTACTCCATCTCTTCTTTCAGCAATGTGCAGCCTCTTGGACAACCTCTTGATGACTGCTCCCAGAGACACTGCAAAGGCTGTTCGACAAGCTCATCTCATCGAACTTCTTTGTAGGTGAGAGATAAATACTCCTAGGGAGGCATGCTAGTAGAGATAAATTTACATAAGCTATATTCGTGACTTGATACGAGATTTCATGTGACCTGGGAATACAGCTTTATTTCTTTTTTAGCCTCATTCAACTCTAGGATTTTTGCTTTTGCCAGAATTGTCTGGATAGTTTTTATTTTACATCTATTAAAGCACTTGTATTGGTTTGTTATCTTAACTAAGGCCAAAGAAAAACTCCTGCCTTCTAAAATTCATGGCTTCTAAACCTCATTTATCCTCCAGCACACTTAAGGAATATGGTGCTATCCCCTGTTCTCAGTTTTGTGAGGGAGTTTGGAATTCGTCTTTTTAGTGGTCGTGTCAGAATAATGTCCCTGGGTTGAAAAATTATTGGTTAAATTCTTTTGGAGTTATTTTGTTATGGGAAATTAAACTTTTCATCAGAAAGTATTCTGATAAAATTTAGGGAAATTACATTCGAAGAAAAATTCTTTGAATTTTTATTACTTATTGGATATTAATCAGTCTGTGACATAGTTTTTCTGCATTTCTAATAAAGCAGAGTCGAAAAGGACTAGATATTCAGGCGACCTAAGGTCTAATTATAGTTCATTCACTCCGTAGCTTGCAGCCTTGGGAAACTACTTTAATCCCTACTGTGTCATTCACACCTATTTAATGGGGTTAGTGTGAGAATGAAAAGTGATGGTATCTAGGACACCCCCTTATCTATTAGTAAGTATCACTTCTCTTTTTTTCTGGTGTACAGTTTATTGTAGCCAACCATACCCGCCTCCTTTTGACCACATGCTCATTTGCATTTCTTTGCCTCTCTGTCTCTACCTTTAAATATTCACTATCTGGAATGTCTTCCGTCTCTGCCAAATCTTAGTGCCTTCTCCTTTTGGGATATTAAAAAAACTCTAAAAAATATAAACTCTGGAAGTAGCTGGTTTCACCTTATTCAGTTGTAATTATTCCTTTACCATGTATAATATGCAATGGGGTATGAATTTGTTCTGGCTTTAATATTTATTGCTCATTTTTCTACTGTGCCTACTTGGATTGGAAAAGTAACTGCTAGTCAGTCGGCTTTCCTTCTTGGATGCTCCTCCTGTCTGAAGATAACCAAAATAGAGCTCTAGGGATAGGATATTCTTTGCCTCTTAGAAGTCAGCTAAGAGTTTGATGTCAGCATTAAAAGACCTTTTATGGAAAAGGCTTATCATATTTCCATACCTGTTTTTCATTTTTGACTTAAAAATATTCCTACTTGTTTTACTTTATTTTGTTTTTTACTTTATAAATAAGAATGGTGTTTTTGCTATTTTAACTGGTGTTTTTGTTATTTTATTAGGAAAGTAACCACCAAGGTTCCTTTTACTCATTTGTTTTCTTCCTGAATGGGCGGCTGTATCTTATTTTATTCTGCTTTTAATTAGGTTTCCTTAGATATTTTCTTCAGAACTCTTTGCTTCTCACCTTTCTCTGACAAGATATTTTTCCTGTTTGGAGGTAATCCAGAATACAATTTAAAATTCTTTGGGATATCTTTTTATAAACAGTTTCTTCGCTTATAAAGATCCTTCCTCTTGAATTGTATTTGAGTTACCTTTAAACTTCAAATTCCAAGTTATTAACCTTTAATAGAAAGTATACTGATCTTCGGAAGGGTGTTCTTTTTCTGATCGTCACAGCATTGCAGATGCTGCCCTCATACAGACATGTGTCCGGGGACTCAGGGCCCTCCTGCCATCATCACCTCCAGCTGAGCACACTCAGGCTCAGGTAAGCGTCTCAAGTCTGTCTTGCCTCGTGTCTGTTTGTGGCTTCGTTTGCGTTAGGTGTTAAAAATCTAAATCTTGCTGAGGAGATACTAGCCATAGGAAAAGGATGAAAACCTCTCAACATATACATGGTATAATGACATGATTTGAAATATGTTACTTAAAATTTTAATATGAGACATGTTTGGATGTTAGAAAAGAGAGGTGGGGTTTGAAGACCTAGATTCTATTCTTGACTCCATCATTAACCAGCTTTAAATGTATAATCAAATGTCTGGATATCTTGGAGCGCCACTTTAATAAAGAGGGATGTCGGGACATTGGTATAGTTTATCTTCTGCTTCTTGATTTTAGGCTTTCTCTGTTATGTCTGTTATTTACACCAAAGTTAAAGTTGTTAAGACATTTGGTGACTAAGTTATGTATTTTCAAAACCCAATTTGATAAAAATAATTTATTCTTGTTTCTTCACGGATATTTATTATTTTAAATTCTTGTCTAGAATTTAGCTAGAATCTGTATATAAAACATGCTTAACAATTATTCATGTAGCTGTTGCTAACAAATTTTATTTCAAAATTAGATTTTAAGAAGGACTCTAAGACTTTTTGGGAGGTGATCAATTAAAGGTGAACTATACCAGTATCTCTCGCTTTGAGATGTGTTCTTGAGCTGAATAAGACAGGGAATACGAGCTGAATAAGCTGAAAAGTTTGGGAACACTACACACATGGTCTTTGAAGCACTTGTCTCGGTGCAGTGTTTTCACTTGAGCGTGCCTATTGCGTAATGACTGTTTCCTCCATTTTCCTGCTCTCCATCCATCAAGTCTTTGTTGTGTACCTGCTGTGTGCCTGGATCTTCTCCAAGTGAATAAAGCAAAGACCCTCCCTCAAGTTGGGGGAATAGATAATGAGAAAATCCGTATAGTCCTGATAATGATAGACATCTCAGAAGAAAAACTAAAGCAAGGAACAGGAAGTGATGTCAGAGTTGGAAGGGTAGGGCTGTTCCACTTAGGATGAGTAGGTGCTGACGTGGGACCCAAAGTTAGTGAAGCAGCTAGTCCTACGGTCATTGCAAGTCCCCTGAGGTTGAGGTATGCTTGGCCTATCCAAGAAATGGCAAGGAGGGCGGAGTGGCTGGAGCAGAATCTATGAGGGCAGGATGAGGTCAGAGGGGCACTGTCAGCTCCATGAAGTCAGGACCTGGCTGGCTGTTATGTGCTGTTGTGTTTCTGAGTGCCTAGCACAGGGCTTGTCTCATCACATGTGCTCACTTGATACTTGTGCAGTGAACAAACAATAGCAGTAGCAAACATGTATGGGTACTTGTTTTTGTAATCTTCACAACAATCAACAGTCATGAAATATTGTTAATATCATTTTATCAAGGAAATGCCTGAGGCCCAGAGAGGTGAGTGACTTGCCCCAGGTCTCTGACATAGATTCCAACATATGCAGGCCAGTTCTGGGGCCCACATTCTGAACCACTGCACTAGCTGGCCTTATGTAGCTTCAGTGCTTTGGGGCTACAGGTATTTATGTAAGATCATTCACTCGTTCCAGAAAATTCTTGAGCCTCTGCTTTACCAGATTCTGTTCTAGGTGCTAGTGATACATCCTTAAACAAAACAGATGAGCATCTCTGCTCACATAGATTCTGTGTCCTAAATGCAGGAGGGAGACAGTAGACAAATGAAGTGTATTTTATCAGATAGTCACAAATGACATGGAAAAAAGTAAGTGAGAGTGGGTAAAAGGGTGTGTCAGCAAGAGGAGAGGTGGCTATTTTTAGGTAGGGTGGAAAGGAAAAGGCCTCCTGAGTGTGACACTTAAGCAGAGGCTGTGAGTGCCTGTGGCAGACCGGGTGGGCAGAGCACTGGTGGCACGGTTATACTCTGCTAAAGGTATGATGTATTAAAATCTGTGGTCAGTTGGTTGGTATGTTTTTTTGAAGCAGACCATACATAGAAAAAAGAGTTACTTTATCAACTACTATTAAGATATTAATACTTTATTTAATCTTGAATGTGATCATATACAAAATAATCTTTAGCAATTCAGCTTTTTCTCTGTAACATTTCTTCTTGACTCTCACCTGGCATGATTTATCTATTTATGGTAATATTTCATACATCTAGAGGTCAGACTTGCTATAATTTCAATACTATAGGATAGGAATATAATATGAAATCTCAAAAAAGATTTCACAGCAATAAACAAATTAAATTTCACCAACTGAAGAGTTTGTGAAGGCTAGAGCCACTTATACTTTTATACAGAGTAAATTGGTATATTAGATAAAGAGAGGGCATATTCATCAGAAGTAGACAGAATTATTTTTAAATAGTCTGAGACCATTGATCTCAGAGACACAAACTCCACAAGTTTACAACAGGCCCTCGACTCCTAATTACATTTTACAACCTCAGAATAAGGTGAGGAAAAAAAAGTGTGTCTGTATGTGTACAGAGAGAGAGAATGACTGATTTTAGAATAGCTTATAAAATTCACTTATATGTACTGGCTCATTGCTTGAGCAGAGTGGACAAATGAGACATCACACAGCTCATTCTTTAATTGTGGCATATTCAGAGGATTATTTTTCTGAAAAGTACTTTTTTCCAGTTAATACTTAACAATATTAGCATCAGGCAAATTCCAGAGATGCTTTTGTTGGTAATATTGAAGAAGCTTTAACTTTTTCTCTTATAATTAATAATAGTATTTTTATGCTGTGGGCAAAAATAGAATATATTTGCATTTTATTTGTAGTAATAAGTAGGCCACTAGGCCATTATCCCCCTCTACCCGGCCCCCAATTATGCACTTTGAAGAGTATTTTTGTAATCTTTCTTTCTTTACAAAATTGTAGACTTTATGGCTTTGTTATACACTTTTCTACTTCTTCCAGAATATTGATTTTTATAATTTGACTACTTGAAAAATATAGAGACTGTTTTTTTTCTTTTGAAACAGGGTCTTGCTGTGTCACCCAGGCTGGAGTTCAGTGGTGTGATCGCAGCTCATTACAGCCTCTGTCTCCTGGGCTCAAGTGGTCCTCCCATCTCAGCCTCCTAAGTGGCTGGGACTACAGGTGTGCACCACCACACCCAGCTAATTTTTATATTCTTTTGTAGAGACAGGATCTCGCTATATGTTGCTCAGGCTGGTCTCAAACTCCAGGGCTCAAGCCGTCTGCCCACCATGGCCTCTCAAAGGACTGGAATTACAGTATCAGTGTGTTAGCCACCACACCTGGCCAAGACTTTTCTTCTTTAAATGGAGTTCAAAACTTGACTTTGAAACTATTGGCTTGGTTTGGTGTGTAGTTGGCAGTGTTAATATGACTGTATGACATGCTTATGAGAAAAATAATGCTTTGTCTGTTATGTGATAATTTCAGATCTTTAAAAATTACGATTAATATTTTATTAGTTTTTTATTAACTTGTATTACAAAAGTAAAATGCCGTATCACTGAGATGGACTTTTTATATGGCATGTTTGATTGTACCCTGTCCTCCTTTTCAACCAGGTTTCCTTTCTCCTGGAATACCTATCCTCTTTGTCCAGGCTTCTGCAGTCATGTTTATTGGTGGAGCCTGACCTTGTGATTCAAGATGAGCTTATGAAACCTCTTATCACTAATATCATTGGAATTCTCACCATATGCACCAAACATGTATTAGGTAAGTTTAATTTTTTAGTTTAGAATGTAAGTAAATAATACTGAGGAAAAAAAAAAACTTAGTCTGTTCCAGATATTCACTTGAAGGTTACTTTTTGAGTTGCTTTTTGCTAGCATTCTGGAAGGCTTTGATAGTGTGTTTTATAGTTTGGATGCCTTTTAATGGTATCACTTGAGACAAGTGTGTAGTATAATAAAGGACCATCCCTGAGTTTTCAGTTTAAATGAGGGCAGAGCTCTCTGTGTGATGTTAGAAAGTACAGGGAGTTCTGGGTATTAATTATTCTTATAAACTGTGGCTAAGGCCAAAAACCTAATAAATCGTTCTCAATAACAAGTATAAGCCAATCTAGAACAGACCAAAAATTTCCTAAGGTCCTAAATTATTGAAATATATATATATTTTGTGATCTAATGTTATCTCCAGAGGAAAAATGTTATGATGAAAAGTTGAATGTAATGCTTAATAGAGAAAATTAAAGCAATGTATGATCTTTGTCAAAATCTAGTATAATTGTTTTAATAGTGGAAATAGTCATTTATAATGAAGTAATTGATCATTTGGTAATTCTCCTTGCCTCTCAGTTCCTTTTTATTTGAACTTTGGATTTACTTGATTTTAGGTCTGGAAAATGAAGTGTGTTATGATACCCAGCAAAGCCAGTCCTCAGCATCTCATCAGTGTTAAAATGATCTCAATGCTAGAGGAATAGTAATTTGTTTCTTAGAAATTCAACAAGAGGCAGTGATGCCCTAACTAAGATTATTAGGTTAGACTGGACAAGCTCAACAAGGTGATGTCACCCCTGTTCCCTAAGGAGTGAAAACTGATTCTGGGGAGAAGAGGGTGAGGCAAAAACCTTGAAAAAACCATGTTTGTGGTCCTCCAAAGCTCAACTCTAACTGAGACAGTCTTATTACTTACTATTTTTCTTCTTGGTTTTTCTTGAAAATTCCTTGAGAAGCATTGACGTTGAGTTCATGGAAGATACACAAGATGTGTGCACGCTGAGTGCTACAAAACTGTCGTGAATAGATGATGGCAGTTGGAGGACTTTTGGTTGATTATTTGATCCCAAGGTCACATAGCAAAAGGTGGTCTCTGTATCTTTGCTGCTACTGGCTGTCTTGTGCATGCTTTTTATTGATCCTCTTGCTTTTCTGTATGATTTTGGGCTTTGAAAATTAAATGAAAGTAGTATATATTTTATTTAATTACATAAAAGTTGTTTAACTCATTAATTACGTCAAGTGCTGAAAGGAAAAAATGTCAACAATATCTGAATGTACATCTATCAGCTGGTTAAATAAAAAATTATTTTCTCATATCTAGCAAAAGGTTTTAAAAATTCACTAAAAGTATTTTTTAAGAAATTGTTTTTAAATTTTTTTCTGGAAAAATAAGTTTTAAATGATTTTATAAGAATTTATTATATTGCTATTATGTGTTTATATGAATTGCTAATTTATGTATATAAATTGATACATTGTGTTATATATAAGTGAATAAATTACATGAAAAGCTGTTCAGCAAGTATAGTTGCAAAGTTGAATTTGGTGTTAATAGGTCTTTAATTTTTAATTTAACTTTCAGCTTAAATGTTTTATTCAGCTATTCTTAAGCCTGTATTGAATAAAAACAGTAAGCTCTATACTTAGTCTTTTTATGTTCAAAGTACAGATACACATATAGTACATAAAGAGATATACAGTATATCCGTGGAATTAAAATTTTTTGGGGATGGCAATGAGGAAACATATTTCTAACATAAACTTTTCAGGGATCCACCAATGACAAAAGGGTCGAGAGCCACCAAGGACTGCTAAATCTAATCCCCTGGGAAGATGCAATTTTCAAGTACCTCATAGGTGCTGAAGTACACCTAGATGGATGTCCTTGGAGTTAGTGTCCTTTACATTATAGAGGAATTGGATAAAAGATGACAAATCCTGCTGATGGCATGGTCAGAGAGAGTTCTCAGCTACTGCTTTCCAGCTTCCATTTACCTGAGTGGAGAGATGGGAAAAGGTGTCCTCACCCTAGAAGGTTAATTGCTACATCCTTAGCCACAGGCAGAGCTGCAGAATCTTCTTTTGTATCATAGTTGTCTTTGTGGGATGATACTTTTCTTGGTGCTTCTTGGTTCTTCAAAGAAATTCTTTCTTTTCTACCTTGACCTTGGCACATTGTGCTTTCCTTTCACCCCTGCACAAAGCTGCTGGAGGGGATAAAGGAAATAGAGGAAAACTTACTCTGACAAAAGTAGCACAAACCATGGAATGTTTTTATAATGTGCCGATATGTAGTTCTGCAGTCATGGCTTACTATTCAGTTTGTCACATCTTCTGGTGGTTCTCGAGTATGCTTTAATAAGAGGAGAGTTTGGGAGTGTGTCTTTGTATGCAGGAGGGTGGAGGGGAGATAGCTTAAGACGCAATGGAAAAGAGAAGTTAACAAATAAATTTTGGATAATGCTGAATTAGATTTGTCTTCATTCGGTAAGTGCAAACCCCTCATTTTAAGTGTAATGAAGTGTCTGTGTAAGTTTTATATCTTGAAAGGTTCTTTTCCTTCTTTGTGTTAATAACTTGAAGTGTTTTGATTAATTTTATAGATAGAGAGTTAATATCAGCTTTTTATCTCACATGGACACATTTATTTAATCTTCTGGCCACACTCCTGAGGAAGACTGGTGCCATCGCACTCCCGTCTATTACTATGGCCCTGGCCAAGCACTGGACAGCAATGATTGGTAAGAAGATACTTGCGTAATCTTGGGGGCTTTGTGCTAATAAAATGAGATAATTATTCTGGCTGCTTAGATATGTGAATTCACTAAAATGAAGTAATGATGGTGTGGCATATAAAAGAGATATTAGGGTGCTTGCTTTGAAAAATTTGCTGTGATCTTGAGGAGCCCCCCGCAAATGTATTTTTGCAAAATTGAAATGCATTTTAAGATAACATAAAGGTGAGTTAGAAAAACGTGTGGTTTTATTTTATTTTATTTTTTAAGATTTTTAAAGATTTCATTCATGAAGCTCTTTTTTATTGAGAACATTATATTGGCCACTCTGCTTTATTTTCATTTTACTTTAAGTTCTGGGATACATGTGCAGAATGTGCAGCTTTGTTCCATAGGTACACATGTGCCATGGTGGTTTGCTGCACCCGTCAACCTGTCATCTAGGTTTTAAGCCCCACATGCATTAGGTATTTATCATAATGCTCTCCCTCCCCTTGCCTCTCACTCCCTGACAGGCCCCAGTGTGTCATGTTCCCCTCCCTGTGTCCATGTGTTCTCATTGTTCAACTTTCATTGGTGAGTGAGAACATGCAATGTTTGGTTTTTTGTTCCTGTTTTAGTCTGCTGAGAATGATGGCTTCCAGCTTTATTCATATCCTTACAAAGGACATGAACTCATGCTTATTTATGGCTGCATAGTATTCCATGGTGTACATATGCCACATTTTCTTTATCTAGTCTATCATTGTTGGGCATTTGGGTTGGTTCCGAGTCTTTGCTATTGTGAATAGTGCTGCAATAAACATACATGTGCATGTGTCTTTATAGTAGAATGATTTCTAATCCTTTGGGTATATGCTCAATAATGGGATTGCTGGGTCAAATGGTATGTCTGATTCTAGAGCTTGAGGAATTGCCACAATGATTGAACTAATTGACACTCCCACTGACAGTATAAAAGCGTTCCCATTTTCTCCACAGCCTTGACAGCATCTGTTGTCCTGACTTCTTAATAATCACCATTCTAACTGGTGTGAGATGTTATCTCATTGTGGTTTTGAGTTGTATTTTTCTAATGACCGGTGTTAATGAGCTTTTTTTCATATTTGCTGTCCATAGCAAACATGAAAAAAGCGTCTGTTGAGAAGCGTCTGTTCAAATCCTTTCTCCACTTTTTGATGGAGTTGTTTTTTTCTTGTAAATTTGTTTAAGTTGCCTGTAGGTTGTGGATATTAGCCCTTTGTCACATGGGTAGATTGCAAAAATTTTCTTTCATTCTGTAGGTTGCTTGTTCACTCTGGTTTCTTTTGCTGTGCAGAAGCTCTTTAGTTTAATTAGATCCCATTTGTCAGTTTTAAGCCTGTGGTTTCATAAAGGTATGTATGATATGATCATAAAGCAATGAGATAAATTTTCTTGTGTTGATATAGAAGCTAGTATCATTTCTGAATACGTGCCTTGTATGTGGATAAATATACATATGTAAAGTTCTGTATACATGATAACATGGAAAGTTATGATAAAATATTATCTTGTCTCATGACATCAGGAGTTTCTTATAGTACCAAAATGCCAAGAGTATAGTGTAATTATTTTTATAAGATGTTTTTCATATGATAGCCACTAAAAGAAACATGATTATTTAAAAATAACTAACCTTTAATTTTTCATAAAGCCTCCCACATTTTAGCATAGCAAAAGCTGTTTTTTGACATAAATATTCACAACTAATATTTATATAACCTTTTAAAATAATCTTCTTATATTTATTCAAGACTGAGTTATCTTGTTTCCAAAGTACATGCTAATTCAACGGACTGATTTTTTTTAACATTTATTTTATCATTTGATCATTCTGTAAACTTAAATGCATGATACAATTTTTAACCAAAGCGATAGTAAGAGTTATGGCAAATGTGTGTTTAACAAAGAACAGAATTGTTAGTTTTCTGGATATAGGAGTTCTGGGTCTACCATGGAGGGAGTACAGTGTCCATGCAGGATATCATGATTTTGTTAAAAAGATAATAGTTGAAAGAGAGTGACTGATTGAGACATTGGAATTTTCTTTTTGCATCCATTGGGGGAAAATTAGTTTGCTACCTGAATCACCAATAATATCACTAGAAAGCATGATGCTACCCACATTAGATAAATCTGTCCTGCCGCGTTTTGGTAAATAAAGTTTTATTGGAACACAGCCACAGTCATTTACATATTGCATGTGGCTGCTTTCATGCTACAACAATTGAGGTGAATAGTTGTGACAAAGGCAGTTACCTGCAGAGTACAAAATACTTACTATTTGGCTCTTTACAGAAAAAGTTTGCTGACCTCAGACTTAAACTTATTTCCCTGACACTATTTCCCTAGTGATAAAATAAATACGTATTAAATTCAAAACCTGCCTTCAAAATGTGTGTACAGTTTTATGTAATAATAGTCCTAAGCAAAAGTAACTTCCTGCATAAACGGTTTTGATAATAGTAATGTTAATGAAAACATTAATAACAATTATCATTGATTTTTTTGCCATCTTTTTTTTTTTTAATCAGTTTCCATTTCATATGCCCATGTACATTTAAAACATCTCATGGTCACTCCACAATTTGTATTATCTATAACAATCTTTTCTCAAACTTGATTAATATTTGGACATCCTTTAAATGAACATAATTCTCATGAAATCCTACTGCTGACTACTTAATTTTTCTTATGTAACTTTAATTTGTGCAAGCCAAAATCTAAGTAAAAATTTTTATGGTCATAATTCTCACACAAGCATATATCTAAAATATAAAATCAAAGAAAATTGTAAATACAGATTATCAAGTTAATAAAATGTAATACAACATGTTATTTTGATTAAACAGAATCATTGCTCACAACCGGAAAGTAATAACTGTTTCAGTGCAAATTCCTTTGAGTTTGGACTCTTCTTTCCACCCTGTGTTAAGTTTGTGAATCAGTTCGTGACCACTCATATACTGTCTGAACTGCAATGAAATACTTGTTTGTAAATTCTGCCAAGACTGCATACTAAGTCTTGCTTTTTTTTTTTGAGACAGAGTTACGCTCTTGTTGCCCAGGTTAGAGTGCAGTGGCATGATCTTGGCTCACCGCAACCTCTGCCTCCCAGATTCAAGGGATTCTTCTGCTTCAGCCTCCCGAGTAGCTGGGATTGCAGACATACACCACCACACCTGGCTAATATTGTGTTTTTAGTAGAGACGGGATTTCTCCATGTTGGTCAAGCTGGTCTCGAACTCCTGACCTCAGGTGATCCACCTGCCTTCACCTCCCAGAGTGCTGGAATTATAGGCTTAAGCCACTGCGCCTAGCCCAAGTCTTGCTTTTAAGTACTATTTGGCACCAGCTTGTTTGAAATTGTGACACAATCACACAAGTTGGTAATCTAAATGATCCAGAGTATAGTTACTTTAAAATCAATTTGATTTGCTTCTTTAATTTTAAAGAAATTTTCACACATTCACATCTGAAATTATTTTTTTAGATACGTTCTGCAAATGTGCAAGCTTGTCCACCACGTGTCCTGCACTGTATACTGCCAGCTTGCAATTCCTTTCTGTTCTCTTGACTGAAGAAGCAAAAGAACATCTCCAGGATAAGAGCAAAACAAGTTTATGCCATAGTCCAACAATGGCTTCACTTCTTGATAAGTCTCAGGAAAATCAGAACTCTCAACGACTTAGTGATGTAATTCTTCAGGTATGTCATTTCTTTATTTTTACAAAACTTTAGTGTTTAAATGAATTGACTTTCAGTCATGGTCTTGTTAAAAACTTTCTTAGTCATTTAAATTTATTTACTGATTTAAACTTAGTCATTTAAATTAAGAAATAGTAATTAATGCTTATTATGACTTTTTAAATGATACAAAATTTTATAAAGTTAAATTAACTATCTCCTCCTTAGCCCCAACCCCTTATATTGACCAGTTTCTTCAGTGAATCTGATGTAAAATTTCAAGTGAAATACTACTAATCTAAATCCAACAGTTGATCAAAACAGTGTTTCATATCATGACCAAAATGGGTATATCTCAGGAATGTAGTTATAGTTCAAAATTTATTGCAATTTTAAAGATATGTCTACATCTTTGAAAATATATTCTGAGTGACATTTGATTTCTATAAATGAACCACAGAGTTTTTTGAGGTTGGTTACATGCATATGTAAGTGGACTTGTCTGGCACATTTGGAAGAAAATGCCCTCTTTCCAAGCCCTGTTGCCTGTTTTATCTTATAAACTTATGTCTACAGTCCTAAAATATGAATCAAGAATTTTACTCATCAGAAAACATTCTAAAATCACTAAAGTATTATTTTATAAATAGATGAGTAATTTTTAAAAACTATGTTTCCTAAGTTAAAGTTGGACGTTGTTTTTTACAAATGGGAATGTTTCTAGATTTTTCAATATTTAGAATTATTCTTTTTAATCATATGGTTTTATGATTTTTGTCTTCTCACTGAAAGGTAGAAAAGTGAACTGTTTTTTGAAAAATTTGCCTCAGCTTCCCAATCAGCCACATCTGGCCAAGACAAGAGAATGTTCCTGTGTTGATTTGTTATCGTCCCTTTGTTGTAGAATTTGGAGCTTTTCACCCCCTTCTTTGCCTGTGAGAGACATGTTTGTGCAGATATTTCTGGTATGACCACTTGTACATTTTGGGCGCCAGCCTTGATTATGTTAGATACAGAAAGGATCACCTGACAGAGAGGAGATGATGCTCCTGGGTTCACCCCGGAATTGTCATGTGGCAAGTGTCACAGGGTTTCTCAGGGGACTTTATCTCCCTTGTGCTACAGAATCTGGTTGACTTAAGGCATCCCCCATTTTCTCATCTGTTGCCAGCAGTGCCTTCAGAAGCCTGGATAGAGGTCTAGGGAGAAAGGTTTCTCAAAGCATTTCTCTAAAACTCTCTTATTCTTGTGAGGCCATAGCTTTCCTGTACCTACTACGTCCCTGTCATCTCACTCAGACTTTCTTAGTGGAAAACAAAAACTGGACATTGTCCCAGTTTTCTCGTTCCCGTCAGAACAACAGACTTTATTTCCCAATGATTGATTGAGTCCAGTTTTGCACTTTGCGGAATGTTACAAGGAGGAAAATTCAAAGTCACGCCTTTTCAAAATCAGAACAACAGACTTTATTTCCAATGATTAACTGAGTCCAATTTTGCACTTTAAAGAATGTAATAAGGAGGAAAATTCAAAGTCACACCCACCATATCCTCTATCTAATTTAATTATAAATTTCCTAACTTTGGCTTTGGTTGGAGCATTGTCCTGCTTATGGAAAGGCTTTTGCTCTTGTGACATGCTTTCCTTATCAGAGAATTTCAGTGACCTCACTCAGAAGAGAGTGCAGTTAGGGCAGTGTGCTGAGCCCCGCCCCCCAGCTGAGGCCAAAATGGCAATAGCTCGGGAGCCTGGCTTTGCATGGATGACTGTGGGTATCCTGCAGCCAGTCCTTCTGGACCCTGGGACCTGGTGAAGTTTAAAGACTCCCAGCCAGGCAAAGCCAGGGCCATTTTATTTCCCAACTCTTTAATCTTGTTTCTGGTGCTGTGTTTGAAGGATCTGTGATGAGACTCATGATAAATGTGGACCATGTAGGGTAATGAATCAGTTTTATAATAGTATAGATAGGGAAAACAAACTCTGCTAGAGGAATTTGTGAGATTTACCTCGCTTTTATTTTTTCCTAATACTTTGTAATATTAGTCATCATAAAAGTTTTTGTTCATAATTTTTTATGTTACCTTTTTGGACAAAGAAAATGAGATAGCCTATAGTCACAGAATATCTCAGTGATTTTCCTAATGACTAGCTAATATTCCTCTTTATTTCTTCTAAATTACAAAACATGCTCTTTGTGAGGGTATGGATTCATTAACCAGTTATTTAAACCGTGTTTCCTAATAAATCATATGCTTCGTGTTCGTGTAAGAATTTGGATACCTGACATTTGTTAGAAGTGCACAGGCAAGTTTAAGACAAAGTGAAGAGAGGAATTATATTTCTGGGACACTTATGACAAAATATGTATTTAATGTAAGTTGAGACAGTAATGGGTCTATTAAACTACAAGGACTGTTTTCTTTGCCCTGTAGAAACAAGATGTGTGAGTTAAAATATTATAATGCATTCAACAGCAACACATTTTGATAAGTAATAAATGTAGCTTACTATGTATCCATGGAGGCTGTGGGTTGGGCCAAGTGCTATATGAAGCAAAGTAAACTACAGTCTAAGTTATCAGAAGAAATCAGATTCTAAAATTGATGTTCTTCAAAGGTTCATTTAAATTTTCTGTATAGTCATACTCAAAAAACATTTGATATGGGACCTTAGGCATGTCACTTAACTACTTGTGATTTAGTTCTTCAAGTACAAAATGATAGGATTTTATTACATTATTAGTAAGTTTTAGCTGCCTCTAAGATTTCCATCCTCCTAACAAATTATTGTATTAGAACTTCAATTAAAATGTCTGGGCGGAGTTATCTTTTAAATGGTTCTTTATAGCACTATCCCATAGGGGATACATGTTGAAACTATGCATACTTACATCTTAAGTCATGTAAGCCTGTTTTTGTAAGCCTGTTTTGAGGAGCTGTCAGACTTTGAATATTTTCTAAGAAATATTTAGCTGTCTTTTGTCCATAAAATATTGACCACATTTGACTTAGTGGAGATTTTACCTTACCTAGTTTATGGAGATATAGTAGTCTCCCCTTATCTGTGGTTTTGTCTTTCATGATTTCAGTTACCCACAGTCAACTGTAGTCCAAATATTAAATGGAAAATTCCAGAAATACACAGTTCTTAAGTTTTAAATTGCATGTCATTCTGAATGGCAATATGAAATCTTGCTCTCTCTCCCCACTCCTCAACCTGGGACGTGAATCATCCTATGTCTAGCTTACCCACACTGCATATGATACGTGCCCATTCATCACTTAGTATAGTCACCTTGGTTATCAGACTGACAAATCACAAGACGAAGAAGGGTGATGGCATTATAGTTAGATATTTTGAGAGAGAGAGACAGAGAGAGAGACCACAGTCACATAATTTTTATTAGACTGTTGTATGTTATTTGTTATTGTCAATCTCTTCCCATGCCTACTTTATAAGTTAAACTTTAGCGTAATTACATATGTATAGGAAAAAACATAAAATATATAGAGTTGGATACTATTCATGGTTTTAGGTATCCACTGGGGGTGTTGGAATGGATCCCCCAAGGATAAGGGGGCCTACTGTGCTCTATATGTTTTATTTGCAAATCCATATAGATAAGAAGATTAATAAAAATTCTCTATATGTAGTAGATTTTATCTATAATTTATATATTAAACAACTGATATATTGAATTAATTTTGCTTATATTTGATCTGATATCTAAAAGTAGTAATGCAAACAAGGAACTCTTGCATCTTATTTTAGATGCATTTTGTGCTCACATTTAGTGAATGGTAAAATTCAAGGGTAAATCTATTGAAAGGAAGGCTTATATATTTAAGATCTGTTGATGAATGTTTACTGTAATTAAAAAGCCTATTTTTTACATTAAGTACCTTTTGGAAAGAAAGCAAAAAATCTTAACCTAGAATACCCTACATTACTTTATATACAGAAGGGATTAATCCAGAAAAAGCGTGAAGTTTAAATGAATTTTGGTTGATGAAGAGACATTATTTCTTGCTCTATATCTTCTTGAATGATTTTTGTCTTTTTGCGTATTTGCATCTTCTGGGAGCTAGTTATCTACTGCTTGAGTTTATTCTCAGCCTTGCTGCCTCCAGGCTCCTCACACTTCCAGCCATGTCCACCTGTTCTGTGCAGAGGTGCTCAGACTGCTGTTCAGTCTGCAGTAAGTACTGTATGGAAACTGATCAAAAGTAGGTCCTTTACTCCAGCCTTTCTTTCCTTCAGTATATGTTGGAAAGTATGTGAATTTACAGTAGGTTAGTCCTATTTGTTTCCTTTTTGTTTGTTTTTGGTTTTGGACTTTGATTTCAGTTTTGCCATGTACACATTTTAGAGAACCAAACAGTTCTATCTTTTAGTTTTTACTAAAAGTAGGAGATTTCTGCCTTCATTTCTCATTTTCTCAGAGGTGACCACTTATACCTCATTTAGCTACTTTTATATAGCTTCCGTTTCGTGTCTCTAAATAACATGCTTATATTCCTTTGCCTTGATTATCCAGATATTATCTGTTGAATTCCTACTATGGAAAACGAGACTTTAGCTTTTTTTTTTTCATGTCCCACCCACCTACCCTGCCAAAATCAGTTCCCTTCTCATTCTCCTCATATTGATATACCGTAATGCCTATTAGAGAATAGGCAGCATGAATGGTGTTAACTTTGACAGTGTTACACACAGTTGAACCATGTTACAGACAGTGTTTAACTCTGTTTTCCTGCCAGCTTTTGTTTGCCCTAGAGGTAATTATTCTATTATTTTAAAAGTGCTGCCTTTCCTATTATTGCTTAGAAACTCCACACTCTTTGCCAGCAGTTAAATATCCTCTCAGTGTGTTCAGAACTGTCAGAATTTCATCACTTCATCTTTGGGAGGAAATGTCTCACATTCATTCTGACCTGCTTGGTGCCTGTTGTCATCCTGGGGTATCCATTCACCTTGTTGCAGGAATTCCTGTAGCTCTGCTGTGTGCAGTCTCCTGCATC